GTTTAAAAATATTGCACAAATTGACGACAGATATAAAATTATTCGTTGTTATAATTAACATTGCCACCGCAGCGACGTAATTTCTAACATCATTCGTGACGTATATCGTTTGCAAATGAAAGATAGTTTTGACACTACTTTTAAATTTGACGTAAAAAAGGCTATTTTTTTATTTTATAAAAATATATATAAAATCTTTTTTGACAATTTGATTACTATTGAATATAAATTCACAATTCTTTTTCATCTGGAATAATTTATTAGGAAAGTTTGCCGAATATCTCGCGCGGAATAATTTGTATATGCATATATTAAAATATATTATTGTATCAAAAAAATCAAGTATTTTTTGTCTGTAGGAAAAAGAATAAAATTTTGATATCCTGAAATTAGAATAACTTATTCGTCTCATTTAAGACAAAAAATGAAACATTCACGTATTTCTTTTTATTTGCTTTCGAAGCACAAATTGGCGATAATTGTTTTATCTTCAAGACTCGCAGAAGTTAAAACATTCATTATTGTTGGATTATTCAACTGATCACAATCGTAATTACGCTCAACACATATATCTTGATGTGGATTACTAATTCTCTTACGAAAAGAAGTTCTGGAAATTGAGTCTATAATTTGCTATTATCTTGCATTCCTTTTCTTACTTTTATCGCTTCCCAAGTTGAAATCTCTTTGGCAAGTTGCCCTTAAAACTCATTCAATCGTAGCTTTTTACGTCTCCCATTTTCAATGCAAATGCGACGAATAAAAATCCACCAAAAAATCGTAAGTATACGATAAGTTTACTTTTTTTCTCATCAAATCGTGAATGACGATAACAAAACATTCATCGAACTGCTTGCGTCTCACAATTTTTCTTTAAGAAATGAATTATACTGCCTTTATGTAGTACTTAATGTATATAATTAATTAATTTATAGCAAAATTAAGAAGCATTAACAAAATTGAAGGCCTTGACCTCTCAATTTAACTGTAATGAAATTTCATATGACATTTAGCAACCATTGTTTCTCATGAATACTAAAATATGTACATTTGCATATTCCATTAACGACGTATAACATCAATGCCTTTTTTGTAAAAATAATTTTGATAATTAAATCGATTAACCATGAGGGAATACAGTGTGTAAAATTAATTGATGCGTAAAACGAAATTAATGTTCCGTATATGTTGCAAACTTACAAAACAAATACATCGCAACATAAACGAGCAAAAGTATAATAAAGATCTCTTTCACGTTCGTGCGCGAGAATATAACAAAATATCTCTTGTCGAGAAAATTTCTATGCAAAGAATTTTATAAAAGTGAGACACTAATATTAAAAATAAAAACTGAAGCGTTAAACAGATAATTGTCATAAATATTTGCTGGAAATATCAGAACGTTATTTATCGCCGAGATGTGATTGCGAGTATATTTGCTGTTCACCATCGCGTGATTGCGTAATCGAGTGATTAAAATGATTGATTATACGGGAATATTATAACACGCATGTTGCGTAAGAATAATGAAACATTTGTATGAATTGCGTATAAATTCTCACTGCGATTAATAGCCCGACTTGATTAGGTATTTCTCTTAAGAGAATTGCACCTTGATGCATTATACAAAACTTGTTAATTACTTTCTTGATTTCCGCACATACGGGGATACTTTAGCCGAATTAAATTATACACGATCACTGTCAATCTAAACTCATAGAATGGCCTCTAGCTAGGGACCTTACTTCAACATTGCATATTTGAGTAATTCCAGTGCCAAACTAATTATGCCAAACCAGTAGAGAGTAATATTTGCTAAACATGTTAGGAAATATTATATATATATATATATAATATTATATAATATAAGGAATATTAATATATATAATTATACACTATATTCATTAACATGATTAAGTAAACATAAACACAAAGTGCTAAATAACTAATGCTCTAATCGCAATTAATATAATCACAACATCGATAAAGAGCATCTAAAATAGCTTCGGGATATTTTCAAATCGTAAGACGAAATTATTACATGAAATTACATTTTGATGCAAGAGCAAGGATAATCTTATTTGATATGTAAATTGAATGTAAACTGATGTACATCTATTCTGACGAACAATCCGTTCATTCATGAAATGTTCGAAAAATTATAATAATTTAACAACGAGTTCCGAGCATTCCGTTGACGATTTCGCACGAAACTCTCGAACAAGAGACTTTAACAACACTATCAAGTCACGAAGCAATAAAAACACGGGAAAGGTTTGTGAAATGGACAGCGGACGAGTGCGATGGAATTTAAAAGTTGCTGCGCGTCCTGGGACCCGGGCTCCCTGTGCGATAGAAACTTTGGCCTTTACGCCGTTCGCGTTCCGCGGAGTCCGATAAATTCAACGTTCCTTCCCTTGGAACGCGTTAGCTCATTATAGTGGACGACCTCCACTCGCGCTAACGAGCGGCGGTAGCCGTGGTTAGCTCGATATTTCGGCGGCGCGAAGTGTATTTCATCGACGCTTGATGTAAGCCGCATTTAAAGCGATCACACGGGAATACGTGTCACGCGTACCGTTATTGTAAAGCACTGGTTAAAGCTCTCCCTCAGCGAAATTGCGTTTCGTTCCGGATGAGATTGCATTCCGGTTGACGTTTCTCAAAATTGCTCCTCGTGCGGCGCGGAAAATAGAATTGCCCGGCGTTTCTTACAACTCCACGCCCTTTCACATACCTTTATCTTTAACTTTCTTATTAAGGAAAAAAATCGTAATCTTACAGAAAAGTACTGTGTAATCTGCGCGTCGCAACACAAACACGATAAAGAAATAATTTACGAACTAACTTTACGATTTTGTAAATAATCGTACAAGATACATAGAAAAATCGTGATCATATAAAAGTTACCTCACTAATAACTTTAAAAACTCTAAAAATTATTAAATATTTAGGCTTTAAACATTTTTTCTGCGGTTGGCAAATATTGGAAATGCAAGTTTTTAAAAAAAATACGAATTAAAAGTTTTTTATTACTTCTTGATAATCCAAAAGACATAGTAAAAAAGGAATATTAAAACGTTGCAAAATGATTACATTCAAAGATAAAGTAAACACAGAAAGTAGAAAATAATGTGTCAATCGGCAAGAAATCAAAGAAAAAGATCAAACATAAAGATCGAACATAGAAATGTTCGACATCTTGTTGCATGTATTATATTTCTAATCAATAACAAGGGAAAGCGATTTTTTTTTGTTCTTTTCTTCTTTCTATTTTCTTGTATAGAATGCTTTATGTAGGATATGTCTTATATAAAACGTACTCTATGTAGAAGATGTATCATTATTATTTAGTAAAATATATACCTAAAGTTTGTTTCACGCTTTGCTTTAGTAATTGATATTTTTCGAAATAAAGTATCATAAGAAAGTAAAAATTGTATCATATTTTGGCTTAAAAGACTTCTAAAATAAAATTACTGACATCTTTAATATGATATTAATCACAAATCGTAAAATAACATTAATTTAAAATAAACATGATTTGTCGATCAATGTTGTCGAAAAAAAAAGTTGTCTCACATTAAAGCTACGTATTACGTCGGAAGCCTGTTGCTTCCATGATATAATCGAACATTGGCACGAAACTTGTCCGCCCATGTCTGCAGAGTGAACGATTGATGTTAAATTTGCTTGAAAATTAGTTCAGGCTGCTAATAGATTTTTATCATATATGAATATAACATAATTCGTAAAGCGCATATGTGATATTCAAAAGTAAAATCGATGAGAAAAATTCGCTCTAAATATCCCAACATGTATAAAACAATATTCATAATAATCTTAATTAATATAAACTATTGAGTGCATAAAAAAATCCTTATTCTTTCCTCCACAAGGAAATATGAAATAGTTCAAAGTGAATACGCAGTAGCTTACGCAAGAGAAAGTACAAATAAAAATATGTATAAAATCTTCTATTTAAAAATAAAAAATCAGAAAATAAAGAGACTTTTTTAAAAAGTTTGATACCTTAAATATTTTTCCATTTTTAACTTTTTTTTCTAAATCTACTTAATATATGTGTTATTATCGTTAAAACATTATCTATCATATTCATTATGTTACATTTTTTTATTAATCTCGCTATTTTTGTTCTTTTGAAAGTTCTTTTGGTTCTCTATCTAAAAGTTCGCATAATAACTAATTAATTTTATGTGAAAGCTCTTCAGGCAATTTTAGTAAAGCGTACGTTTTGTGGAGAAAGTTAATGAGTACAATAGCCAAATGTATACACAAAGTATAATATGCGTAATACATAAATTTAACTCTTTAATTTGAAAAGCAGTAGAATTAAATACTCCAAAAAGACTAATGTTATATCTGTCAACTGTGCACAAATATTGTACTCGATTTTTGATCCGCAAAAAGATTAACAAAATTTATTTCGCTACTTAATTTGAAAATTTATATCTTCCTAATTTTTCATTATACAATAATTTTATAACTTTATTTAAAAGAATCAAATATATCTTTTATAATATAAATGTAATTAATGTTTTTTATAGGTTAAGCATATTTAATATCGATCAATAATAATAACATATAAAAAATGTTATATTTTAAAAAATCCGTATTTTTGTAACTTGATAATATATTGTAGTTGTCGACGAAAATTTTTCTCCTTTCAACAAAGAATGTGCAAATAACGAATATGTAACGTGAAAAATATGATATCAAGTATAACAATCTCTTTGAAAGGAAAGAGAAATATGAGTTTCGGTGTCATCCATTTCATACAAGCTTTTAGGTTAGATGACAGAAAGTACTGTTCTCATTGTTTTTCTTGCGTACTTTTTAATTAAGTGCGATATAAAATATATGTTAATAAATTCTATAAATTACATATACATTTCAGAAAAATCAATGATAGTAACAAAAGAGGGAAGAAAAGATCAACGGGGGTCTTGTAAAGCGTACTAAAAATGACAATCACTTACCTTTCGAAGATGGGACCGGGAGTGTCAAAACACGCAGCGACGTAACAGCCGTGAATCGTAAATCGATGGGTTGGTGATTGGGAATCTTGGCGTCTCGGGCTCGTTCGGCAATTCCTCAAGATCCCAAGGTGAGTTCTGCTCGCTGTCGCAAACGGCGGTCAACTGACTAACTAAACCTCCGCGTGCTTCAAGTTATACGTAACTCCAGCGGCGCGGTGACGTCACGGGGTACACGGACCAATCGGAGAACTGAGCTTGCACCCCCAACAGGGGTGGAAAAGCCTCCATCGAGTGTTACGAGGGGAGCTCTGCATCTCGGACACCTGGATGAACGGCAATTCGAACGACGATCGCTCGTTCTCCTTTTCCCCGTGATTCCCTCTCCGCCGTTTTGCTCACTTCCTCAATCGGATTTCGCCCACGTGTAAGATGTTCAACCGTGACGTCGTTGGCGTGCCCTCGCACGCTTGTGAATGGGAAGGTGTGTTACAAAGCTGTTCGCCATTATTAAATAGACGGTGTTCGCCATGACGAGTTTGCTTACTTCAGTGACCAACCCTGACCTCATAGTTCATGCCTCGGTTATAGCGATGGCTACCACCTGACTTGTCTTAGAGAACGGGATGTGTCGCCTTTTACAAAATAAGCGTAAAGCAAAAGCTTTGCTTTGCTGCTCTCACTAAATTAAAGCAATTAATGTTTTATATAGTTTAAGAAAAAATATAAACTTTTTCCGTCTGAAGCAATCTTTTCTTTTCGTATTTTAATAACGCTATTTTCCTTCGACACAAATCCGGATCAAAATTTTTCACTTTATACTTTTTCCGAAATGACAACGTGAGAATCCGATTTGTTCAGGAAGAGCTTTAAAAGTTCTTTTTGAGCGAAACAAGCTATCTTCCGATTTGCAAATTCGGAATTTACGGGATAAATGTTTGAATATACAGTTCTTCTTTTCATGTGCATATGTGCAATGTGAAAAGATAATAAATAAAATAATATAAAGATAATATACAGAATAATAATTACTTACATTTTTCCACATTTTAAAAGCTAATGCGGCTAAAATCGATCGCAGACAACAAAGTAAAAAAATAACTCATCATTTTTTAAGAACTCGTTCTCGAATATGTTCATTAAAAAAAATCTAATGTTATTAATACACTTTGTAACGTATAAAATTATGTACACGCAAGAGTGAACATGATGCAACAGGATATGAAGCAGACACATCCTATAAAAGCAAACGACTATAAAGGAGCACAGTTTTTATAACACAGTCATTATAAAATCCTTCGAAAAGCTTACCGGTGTCATTAGGCTTCGCTGTTGTGCCAAAAACGCGAAACATCACAATATCTATTTTTCTATCAACCGGAATACATTATATAGAACCGAATCATAATTATTCTCGATAAGTTCATATTTTACTTACCAGAATTATTTATCAAGAGAACTCAAACCGCTGTTTACAGTACTATTAGCACCCTCGCAAATAGCCTCGGACTATAGTCTCTTTTTTTGCTACACAAATTACCAGCTAAGCTTTCCATTAAAGTAGATCAATTAGTATAAAAAAATGTAATGCTGTGCTTTTTGACGTCAGTACATAATTAATGCAAAAACATATATTTATGTTTAATATTTTAATAATGTCAGCTTGAATCGAAAAATAGAGGTTCTTAATTAAGATAACATAAATTTTGCTTAAGGGTAGACGTGATAACTAAATTAGAACCCCAAAGTACACTAATCGCTTCGCATTTATTATCGCTGAAGATAAACAATTTTTATGGGGATTTGTGATGCAAAATAAAACGAATGTAAGTACAAACTTTATCGTTCTAAAACATCAAAAACTGAATGAAATTTCACACATTGGGTTTCTTATCAGTATCAATTTATTGTTTTGTTGATTAATGTAAAGCAATATCGGTGGCTTTTACTTTACTTCAAAAGTGCTATTTATGCACCACCGCATTGATAGCGTTTATCGATGCGACGGTACATGATGTTTAAATAGCGCTTTGAGAAAAATACATTTGCCAATTATTGGATGTGTCATATGTTCGACATTATCGATTAACGAGGTTCTCGCATTAAGCAATTGCTATCATATCTCGCTATTATCTTCCATCTGTCACAAAAACTGTTGCGATAACGTAAAAAAAAAAATAATAAAATGGAATTAATTGGAGCACTTAAAGATAACACTAATATATAGTTAATAAACTTATTAACATATTATTTTATACAGGCATAAGCACTTTGTAATAATTAATTTATAATTTGTAATAATATTTTTTTTAAATAAAGAAAAAGCGAGAAGAAATTTAGGCAAAAATTTGGAACGCTTTTAACGTACACACACAAAAATATTAAACGATAAAATTTGCTATAAGTCTGCCTTACATTTTATATATTGCAAATAACAAATATGTCCATCACGAGAAGAAAAATAGAGCTAAATGAGTATTCGTCTTTTGAGAGCGAATATCAATATTGTCCAACGCCATTACGAAATTAGAAAGAAAAATCCACAACTTTGTAGTTGCATTTCTCCAAACGTGTACGACCGACTGCCAAAGTCTTATCATTCAAAGTCCATTAAAGTGACGTCTCTTATTATGTTTCTCGAACAGCAGCGACAATTTCTCAATCGATCGCTCGCAATTTGCACCTTTACTCTCGCCGTGAATTCTTCGAACAAAGAAAAAGTCACCTTAATGCTTTTACGAGGTATTTTTATAAACTGACGTATTATATAAAAGACAAGGGGACGACACCGTCGCACTGACCTTTGAGAAAAACATGTATGTCATGTACGGCCTATGGATGTATGTATATTAAAGCCGCCTCGTTGTAGACATCCATGAATTGGTCCACGGTGTGTGGTCGATAGTCGTTATCTTCAGCGTTCCATCTCCTCTATCAAATCACGCACAAAGAGAGCCGATTTGCCGTAATCACCGGGCGTTAAAGTACGGACTTAGGAAAATACGTACCTGAAAAAATTCTTTCGCAAATTAAACAATAGTCTTTTCACGAATAAAAGAACCAAGAGAACTCAACTTTTGCTGCAACTTTGTAATTGTTAAATCTCTCGGCAAACGCGTCTCAAATAAAAATAAGTAAACCCGATCTGTGCTTAACCAGAAAACAAAATTACTAATTGTCCCTTTGCGAAAAACTATGAGCTACTTTGGTAATTAAAAATCTTGAAAAGTGTGACAGTTTACATATCGCGGTGGAGTCTAGTAATTTTAGCGCGGAGTCAAGTATATGATTCTGAAGTTAAAATCTTTCAACTGAAAAAGGAAGGATGGTTTTTCCTTAGGGAGTTTGAAACAAAACGACTACGATATTCGCAAGAAAATAAAACTGACTTCCGTTTCGCGGTCGATTTGCTGCGACCGCAAACCGTTACTAACGTTCGGAAAAGAATGTATCCTCAAGTGATTGTCTCCGACATTACTTGTGAGAACTGAGTGATATACGCAATTCGTACTTTACATTCGTACTTTACATATGTATATAAAGTACTTTCTAACAAAGATTCACGTCAAACCTGCTGACTACAATATCTCAATTCAAATTTAGGTTTTTTACTTCCATTATTATTGCTTACAATAATTATTTTATTCTTTAATGCCGTTTGACCATAAAATAAATTTCTTTTTTATATCTATTTTAATTTATTTTAATTTATTTTAATTTATTTTATCCGTTATATTAAATATATCCAATATATAAAATATGTATGTATATTATGTTTATGTTATTTTAAATGTAACACAAAACGCAAATAATGCAAACGCAAATGCCAAAAGTGCAATTAATTGGATTCAGTTTAGTAAATATTGTTATATTTATATAAAAAATTCTTTTGTCGTAGAATTTTTTAATGCTGCTAACAATAAATAAAATAAATTTTTTTTTTTAATATTTGTTTGAGCTTATGTAAACATTTATTTTTTGCATAAAGAATATTCAGGCATTTTCACATTTCGCCTGACTTTGTTCTTTTGTTTTACGCGAGCAAGTCGTCTGTCACACTATACAAACGTCCGCTTGATTTATATCATAAATTCAATTGTCGTCGAAACTAAAAATATACCGCGCCACAACTGCTTTCCTTACAAGCATTTTACCGTATTTTCCACTAAAATCCGTAGCATTCACATGTATAAAATAATTCTTATTAACCATATATCTTTAATAGAAAAATGAATATCGTATTTGCTTTGAAATTTTAACAGAAAAAAATCCAGTTACGTTACAAAAAAAATAAAATAAAAGCAATTGAAACCTATTAAAAAACGCGTTTCCTGTTGAAACATTAGAAAAATTTATTTTACCGGTATCTATAAAAAATTGCTTTTAATAAAATAATTCTACTGTGAAATTGATTATTACAGTACACTTTATTGAATATTTTCTAATCAATTTTATTGCAATTTGTTTCGGCTGCAATTTCTATTTTATATCGATCTTGCTCGTAAGTTGTAATTGTTATTTAGCGTAAAATGTAGCAGAAATATCAAAGATATATCTATTATTTATATTGATTCAATTTATTTAAACGTGAAATGGAATACGAGAAGTGGAAAAGATAGAGGAAACTTACCGCAAGGTAGATCGACTATTCTTACTTTAGTAAAAGATTCAGTCGGAGAATGTAGATTGATCTGGATCGACGAAAAGCCGCCGGCGTTCACCGAGAATCCTTATTTATCTCCTTCCATCGATTGACAAGTTCCGATTTAATACTCAATATCCTGTTATCGTCATACCGGAAGCAAAGCGAGTTAAAGCGCTAACTCATATCATCCGCAAACGGACACATCCTACTTCGTTTCCTACAAATAATTCAAACCTCTCCATCAACTGTCTAATCCGGAAACGGCTGAACTTTCATCAAGAACGACAGCAGACAAGTTAATCCTGAAAAAAGATACAATTTTATGTTAGTAATATGTAATCATAATCAATACAGCTCTGCGAAATTGTATGCATTAATATATACTTTTTTACGTGTTCTTATCTTATTAGTGCAATTTCTGTAAAATTTAACTAGTTATCAACTTTACAAAACGATTAAATATTTTATATGCTGCATTGATACGTGATACCTAAAATGATTAAAATAATTTCGATTTTGCCACACATATTTGAAGGAAATAAGATGTTCAATTGCAAACGTTAAAGAGTGTTCTACTGTAGCGATATAATACTTGTGATACCCGTACACTTCGGTCTTTCTTCATTCAATCATAAAATCTTCTCACGGAGGATGAAATCGAATAGTCTGCTAATTCTGAAACCAATAAACTTAAACATGTACTTTTGCAGAAGTAATAGTTCTCTCGGCATTGCTTCGAAACGTTTCATCGATGCGATTACAATGCGTCGATCATGTGCCTACGCTTCCGTCCGATACGGCGATCAAAGAAACAAAAAATAACAATGCTTTCTAAAAAAAGATCATTAACCTTTCCGCCGTGGACGGAACATGAACTCCGTATATTCACGACGGCAGTAATAAAACCGTAATTACATATTTCATGCCATTTAATCGCGTTTTTAAGGATTCTGACAGCAAGACATATGATAATACATAATTTATTTCTATACAATCTATAATACAATTGCAATAGAATTCTATTTTGTACTGTAATTTTGTAATTAAAATTTAATTTTTTTTAAATTAACAATAAGAACAATATATACGCAAAAATTATTAATATTTGAGTGGTTTATGACTGTTTGCTTTTGCGCAATTTAGATGCAGTATATACATAATTGTAATAAAATTTATACAATGTCTTCGTTACGAAAAATGTAACCGACGTTATTATAATGAGATTAAGAAGTACAAATGCGTAGATATCGATTAAATTCTTTTCCACCCAACTCTGTGATCTCATCGGCGATGCTAAACTCCCATTTGGATGACGGACGGCATATTCGATGCTCCAAATCGCTAAATCTAAAGGCGGCACTGGTCGATCCCGGAATTCACGGGATAGTCGTTTCATATTTTTTGTATAACTGAAAAAACAATATTTTATTATTAGAAATATGACATAAAATTGTGACACAACTGACAGAACTGTAAATTTTAATTTAAAAATACGTGGTTTTAAGATTTAAGATAAACGATTTAAATATGTATTAAAAATATATATTTAAATGTCGTACCTTTCATCATAAAGTACTTTTTCAATTGCACTTAATATGATTTCTGTCGACAAAGTTTTGACGTCCAAGTATACACCCACGCCTTTGGTTACTAATATATCCACATTGCATTTTTGATCCATGAAAAAAGGCATTCCGATTATTGGCACACCTTTCCAGATAGCTTCCTGCGTGCTAAGAAGACCACCATGTGTCCAAATTGCTTTTATATTTTTGTGAGCTGAATAAAAATATATTGCAGTAATTTTTTATTTTCAATGATTGTGTGATGCAATCAATATTGGACTTCAATTCAAACATTTTATGCTATTGAGAAACGTACTCAAAACTTTGTCCTGCGGCATCCACTTCACAGTCATCACGTTGTCCGCCATTTGAAATGGTACTTCAATGTCAAGTTTCCAAAGTACTCGTTGTTTTAACTTTGATAACGCCAATGCAACAGTCTTAAGTTTATCCATATCGATTGCTTTCCATTGTACATTTGTCCCCAATGATATCGCGATAGCTCCGTTTTCGGCACCATCAAGAAACTTACGGATGTTCTACAAGATAACAAGATAAAATAAATATTTGGATAATCCAAAATATCTTTGTTATCGGAACACATTTACAAAGCAAATTACGCCTAAGTAAAAATCAAGTCCATGCATTATCAAATATATTTAAATGAAATTCATATGACATATTTTCTTTTTTCATAGAATTATCATTCAAATATAACGAATTAAAAATAACTTTTTCACAACATTATGTATAAGTCTATTCAATGCAAACATATACAGGAATAAGAAATTCTGAGCAGAATTTCGTTGAAATTTTGTTTTCTTTTTTTTATCAATAATCTTAATATTTTTACTTATTTTTGAATAAAAAAATATTTCGTACCTCAGGAATTGTTACAGGCACTTCGCCAGGAATCGGTTGTACTTTTTGAGCATGAATTCCTCCAATTTCCAAGGCGTTCGGCGGCAACGGAATCGCAGATTCGAATGAGGAATGAGTATTGATCAGTACGATGCTAATATTTTTCTCTATTTCATGCAGTGGTCTAATTTCATGACCTACATATTGTTCAGCCAAGCGTTGTTGATTGGGCAAGTAATAATAGTGTCGAATGAGATCATCCACGACATAATAAAGAGCATTCCACGTTCTTTGCCAGATACCGGTAGGTTTCGCAATTGCTGCGTGAGTATAAGGTCGTATAGTCGGATAATGGAAATCGCCAATGTAATCCTTGAACCAAGGTGCAGGACCGAATGGAATATAGCCCACTACAGGTGGCCGACCTTTAGCGATCTAAAACGAAAATATTATTAATATATGTAAATTATATATGTGTTAATTATATATGTAGAATTATAATGTGGGGTCTGTAAGATGTGAACCGATTAGATAAATAAAATCATGAGCTTTTATTTTGGTGTTTAATTAATGAAAGCAATAATCGATTACAGAAGAGGTATTTTGATATAAGAATTACGCGCGCCACGTCTACTTATGTTAGTCGTTATTTTCGCGTTTATTTTTCGGATTATATTTTCCTCGCTATCATCGCGAGAAAAACAACTATTCGGCTCGATTACTTTCTGTTCAATTGGACCTTGAATTCAATCAATGAATCAATGAATCCGCTTACTAAAATAATAACACTCGACATGCATCGAAAGTACAATATATTGATAGCTAACGGAAAACGGCGTTTCTACATATCCGGAAACAAAAATGCAGAAAATCAAAGTTTATTTATAAATTGTTTACTACCTACCTCCCACAAGCTATATAGACACTGATTCAGCGTTACATCCTGTATTATAACGTCAAATTCGACATTCTTAATCATTTCTTGCAGTTTTTCCGCAGCTTTAGTTTTTATTGCCATTTCACATGAAAGAAATCCCCAATTATATGTAAAGTATGCCGTATAAAGTACACTATACTGTTCCCATTCAGCTGGATTATAATCCACATCTTCGGTGATTTGTTCCATTACTCCTTCAAAAACCTGAAAAAAATAATCTTTGTTACGCGAAATAAGACATAAGCCGAGAGCACAAGCTTTTACATAAAGCATAACGCATAAGCATAAGGAAATTGATTGGTCTATATATAAGCATAAGCAAATGCATAAGGAAATGGACCAATCAATTTCCTTATGCTTATGCGTTATGCTTTATGCAAAAGTCTGTGCTCCGGCCAATAAGATTAAAGAATAATATCTCCGGAAGCACTAACCTTAGAAAACAATGTTTCATATAAAAATTATAAATTATTCATTCAAAAAATGCTATAAGAACAAGCAAAGCGCGGATGTCAAAACGCAAAAATTTTATTATGATTCAATACAAAATAATGATGCTAATACGGATACCAATCCAAGAACGTTTCCGCTTAATTTTGTACAGATTCTCTACAGTTTTCTATAATTCACTGCCGCACGTGATCATTATTATCAATTGCAATATATATTATTATAATTTGAATAAAGAAACGAAACCAATATAGAAATCTTTTGGTCCAAATGTTTTGAATCATTTTTCTGCATTAATAATAAAAATTTTTACGCCTCGCTTTATAATCCGACATCCGCGCTTTGATTCTTACAACTCTTTTTTCTTTAATTTAATTTTTTTATAATTCTCTTTAATACATCTTAAATTTTTAATTTTTTTATACATCATTATACATCACTTCATCACTCATGTATCACTTACTCTATATGATTATCACTCTAATTATTTTATATATTTTTCCACCTCGTAACTTACTTACTGCATAAGTTAAGTTCTGCGCGAGTTGACCTTCAATGTTGGCTTCATGGATGCTCACTACGTGTATATGATGACCTCTGCGAAGCAAACCTTTAACTAGAGTCATCGCCCAAAGATGATGACTGGTTGACATAATAGGTTCTACCAGTAAAATTGATAACGGCTTCGATGCTATCGCCAGTCCGATTAGTACACAAAAAATCAACAATTGCTTTAACAACATCATGTGAAGAAACATTCAACGCGATATCAATCAAACCTCAGCACTTCGTCTTTCAACTGAATTTCAAAATAAAATGACGCTTAATGCACATGTTATCGTTAATTCTCTTAAATTACCTCCACTTGCGCCAATATCACGATAACATCACGATGACGTCGCATAAATGCAGTAGTTCTGCACACTACTGATGCTAAATAACAATTACATAACGACAAAAAATCGCATCAAAAAGTCAATCACTCATGATACATATTTATATAATACGCACTATCTATTCGTTTTCTCGTACAATATTAGCTAGCTGTCCTCATTAAAAAAGAACATTTGCATGTTATTACAATCATTATAATGAATAGTAATGCGATAATCACTCATAATACATATGCGCAGTAAATATGAACTATATTTTAAGTCAATGTTATATTTTATATGTAATAATAATTTCATTTGTAAATGAGTGAATACGAATACTTAGTGATATTATACTTAAACTATATACAGCATTATGATACATTAGAAAATTTTTATCTTATTTTTCTGCATAAAACTTTTACGGCCGAATGCATAATAAAGTTACACGATAGTAGTAACGTCAATTAACCTAATAAATTTCTAAGATTTTATTTATTTTTTAAAATTATTATTATAATTATATAATATACAATTAAAAATATAATAAGATTATTTTTTTTTGTTACTGGTTTCACTTCTATAATTCAAATTATGGTTTAGTTTACATCGATTGTTTTATGCCCATTTCCACCAATGTAGATTAACTTTAATCTCGGTTCAACTTACTCGTCATCTTTTTTCACTTCTAAGAATTAAAAAAAGATGAAGAATAAGTTGAACCGAGATTAAAGTTAATCTACGCTGGTGGAACTGGGCATTAATCTGAATGATGTAAAGGTAAATTTATAGTATCAATAGAATACCAATAAAGTATGGATAAAATGTCGAGTTAAACTAATTAGTACAAATTTAGCACTAATATACTAATTGGTACGTGTATCAAATGATCGATGTAAATTAAGCCAATATATTAATTACCGATGCTCAGTTACTATTTTCGGAAATCAATCTTTTGAATTACCTTTTATCTTGTGCATAAATATACAGCAATCGATAACTTCAAAAATTCAGATACAAGAAAACGTTTTTATAGACTGACGATAATTAGTCGCTTTCCGCCATCTGCCAGAGTCAATGGAGAAGCAGCACCGATCTGGCTCCATCCGGCCGATAAGAAAGGTCGAAATCTTTTTTTATGTAATTGCTGCTGATGGAGGTTGGGTTAGTCTAGCAGACGACGGGACGAGTGGCTGTAGCAGACAGCGCATAGCTAGCGTCGTTCGCGGGCGCTCGGTAGCGAGCGTTTGAATCGGGGAGGCGAGAGAGGCACGCAACGTCGTTTTCTCGCGCGAGTGATCCGTATTTGTTGTTTGTCTACCGGCGCCGAAGAGAGCATCAACCGCATCCACCATGGATCCCGAGGCGTTCCTGGACATCGCCAATCAGGTCATCAAGCTGAAAATGTTCCCGTACTTCGACATAGCACACTGCGTACTGTGCACGCTGCACGTCAGGGAAGATCTAGGACCCGGTAAGCTGGCCGTCCGTGGCCATCCGTTTCTAAATTTGTAGCGCTCCCTGCGAGGCCTACGACGACGTCAACTCACGGGGAATAGCTCGCCGCGGCCTCGCTATTCCCGAGACACCGACGACGGCCACGTCCCACGCTTCCGCGGTGTTTTATATTTACGATCGTGCTTTCTTTTTCTTTTCTTCTGCCTCTCCCTCTATTCCCCGTCAAATTTTCCCGACGCGCGCGCGCGCTATGTAATAGCCGGCGCGAGATTTCGCGATTCCACAATTTCTCGTGGAAACGCGGAAAATTCTTTGTCGTTCATTTTTTTGCCTATTCATTCTTCCTATGTTGAGAGATAAAATCAACAGATATAATTATAGATACTTCATCACGTTTAGAATACTAGACGAATAATTACGATTTGCAAATTGAATATTTCCCGGTGCTTCGTAAAAACGCTAAACAATAATGATCTATCGTATTGCATAATGACGAGATCAAGAACAATCTGATATTTATTATCAATGTTTCTTCAGAAATTATTTTGACGCAAAAGATTAAATCATTGCGATATTGCAATTGCGATGAGAGTTTCTTAAAATGTTTTTAATAAATAATTTCATAATTATATTAGGCGCATTATTCTTGAACATGAAAATTCTTTCGTTTATGTAATATCTCGCGAATTTATTATATTTTATATCTGATTAATATTGTTATATATACTATACATCATGCTATGATCACTATTGCATAATTTAAAAGTTATTTTAATATCTAACGTACATAAATGATAATGAAAAACATAATAATGTAAGGAATTGCATGATAAAAATATATTATTTGTTATCTATTTATAATTTAAAGTGTTGCATTATTTATCAATGCATAATTTTTGTCTATATTGTACTATAGTTATATGTAAGAATTATGTAAAATTATTAAATAATTGGAATAGGTAGGTCAAAATTAAAATTAATTGGAATCGAGCTGATTTTATACCGCTCTTTGGCACAATTATCATAATTCTATCTCAAGGCAATAACACGGACAACCCAGCTGATCTATTTCAGTATGCACCTTGCCAGTTACAGCCAGAACATCCAAAATAAAGGCACTTTCAAAAGAAGCTTCTTCGAACTATTTTTCACTAAATAATATTATTTTTAATTACTTACGTAACATTTAATTTAAATTAGATTATTATCTATATAAGGAAATTTTTTTATTCAAATAAAATTATGATAACTTAAAATATAAAATAAAATTTTATAATAATATTTTGATTTTAATATTTATCCAACTAATTTAATATTATGTTAGCATTGCAATGAACACAATAGTTATTTTTTTAAAGAAATTATTTCACAATCAGGCTAGCTTTCTAATGCAGTGAAGTGTGAAGGGTATAATTGGAATTTCTTCAACATAATCATTTTCTATTATTTGCATTTGATGCAATGTATTATTATCTTTACCAATAGTAGGAATTCGCGATACCTCCAAGTTTTTATATAAAGAATGTGTTGTACTTGTAAGGTTTCTTGAACTGACCTATTTCAAGCAGCATGTATCTTCAATGTTTCACACCATAATAAAGTGTTCATTTCCATATTTATACACATACTTATCATTTTCCAAATATGTTTTGTACACACACTTATATTAAATTCGTATCTTATATCTGAAACATGATAAAAATTTATAATAAAACTATTTCCTAAAAATAGTATTTAACAAATAATTTTGTTAAAATCTAAATTACAATTTAATATAATTTTAGATAATTATATTTTGCAGTATAAAATATACAGGGTGTTTCATAATGTCCGTGCCAATGCTTGTGTGCGGGTAGAGTGCGATTAACTGAATAGAAAAGTCCTTTACCGTTTTGCAATTTCCGCAATAATAATTGAGATGTCAATTAAAAGGGATTAACGAATAAACGAAAAATAACAACGCATAACGAGAGCAGGAGTAATACGTATTGTAATTTTTCGGTGCGATCCTCGTTGCTGTCACGCCTAGAGTGTACAGCCCATGGTCTAGCCGTGCGCAATGCGTAATTATTCGTCAATCTTTTTGTTTAATATCTCAATTATTATTGCGAAAATTGCAAAACGGTAAAAGACTTTTCTATTCAGTTTACCGCACACGAGCGTTGGCACGTGACATTATGAAACACCTTGTATACTAATATATAAACTAGAATAGATATGCATTAAAAATTTGAATTTTGTACATTTAAAATTTAAATAAAATTTTCCAGAAAAATGATGTGAATTATAAAGACTGCAATAATATTTATGTTTCATTTAGGTGCACAAGCATTTTCTCGCAAACATCCTTTATCATGTTGGCTGTCTACAATGCTGGTCGTTTTTGCAAGCGGTATGCTATGCAATGGATTATTAGGAGAACCAATTCTTGCACCTCTGAAAAATACACCACAAGTGATAGTCGCAACTATTGTTTGGTCGGTATCAACTGTGTTCTTGTTATAACACTTCATGAAGAATCTGTTATTTATTTATAATCACCAGCTTTACAAAAATTAGTCAAGATTAATTACAAAATACTAAAAATCTCTTCGAAAGTTAAAAAATAATTATATTATTAAACAAATGAAATTACTTTCCCTATTAAAAGAAATAAATCTTATAAATATATTTTTATATTATATAAATTATATTTTTCAGGTATGTGATATTTTACACGCCTTTTGACATTGGTTATAAAGTAGCCAAATTTTTACCAGTAAAAGTTGTGTGCGCTGCTATGAAAGAAATCTATAGGCAAGTAAATATCAGTACTTAACTTTTAGAACATCTTTTTTTATTCTATTTTTGTAATATGATTATAAAAAAATTTGTACATAAAAGGGGGTGTAAAATTAATTTAAAATTTTATTGCATTTAAATCAACTGTTATTTTTTATAGGTGTAAAAAGGTATACGACGGAGTAACTCACGCAGGAAAACTTTATCCTAATGCATATCTTATTATGATATTGATTGGAACACTCAAAGGTTGGTCATAAAATGTAGATAGAGTATATATCATTGTTTCCACAATCAAAATACATTCTGCAAAATATAAACTTTTCAAAAATTAATATATAATAATTGTGGTATGTTCATGCAGGTAACGGAGCAGGATTTACAAAATTGTTTGAGCGTCTCATACGTGGCGTATGGACACCGACTGCGATGGAATTTATGCAACCCAGTTTGTACGTAAAATTCAATTTCCAAAATTTCAAATGGTCGAACAGTTTGGATAGTTCAGCTCTCGAAATCGAACGTCAATAGTTTGAATCTTTCGAACGAGTTCAAACTGTTCGATTAGCATATACAACTAATGAATACTTATCTCATTGTGAATCCATATTATGCGTCATTTATAGGTATCTGCTAAATATCGTTGTACACGAACGCTTTTTTGTAAAACGTACAAGTATTTGTACGTTTACACAAAAGCGTTCGTATAAAACGATATTATCAACGATTAATCTAAACGTATAAGTATTTGCAAATTTTATTAAAATCATAACATAAAAACAATATGTATAAAAGATATTAAAATAATATATTTATCATCTTTTAACAAACACACGTAATGATAACAAATGATAATTTTGTTTCAGTCCTACCAAAGCATCCATGGTTGCATCGATTATCTTTGTGTTAGACAAGAAGACTGATCTCATCTCTGCACCACACGCTCTTGTGTACTTTGGCATTGTTATCTTCTTCGTCTATTTCAAGGTAAAATCTATATTCTGCTCTTATTAAATGTTCTTATCAAATTGATACATTCAACATCGTTGAATGAGATAATAATAATGTAATATTTTTTTCAGTTATCATCGATTTTGCTTGGCATTCATGATCCATTTGTACCATTTGAAAATCTGTTCTGCGCTTTATTCCTGGGAGGAATTTGGGATTCACTGGCTAAATTACTGGGCCGTGGCCAAGCTAAAGACGAAAAGGCGGACGCTAAGAAGACAAATTAAATAACGGTAAATGTGATAATAATATTTCTTTTAATATTATAAAACGCATAATATACGCATATTTGAGTCTTAACTGTATTCATTTTCTTCAAAGGACGTATCATCATCCTTTCCAGAGAACGTATCATCACAAGCATCAACTACTTAAAAAGTGATGAAATAAAACTATTTGAAACTAGTCAGATGACGGGGATTAATACTGAATAACTCTTGATGAATCATCAAATGTTGGAAGTACAATAATTTAACATATATATATATATATTTTAATGGCGGAAGTTATATATTCGGTTTTTAAAAAAAGTGTGTGTCCAAAAATATCAACTATTACAGTATTATTTTAATCGTTGAACCGCAGATTATTTTCAAGTAAAAACTTTCATGTTTTAATTAATAATTGTAAGTGTGGTGTCATTCGCAGAATATTTTGAATTCGTCGAGAACGATAAGATACACTAATTCAATCAGCAAACCAGAAGTGTGTTCCCCTTGCCAATTTTGATAGAAACATCTTACGTGACCTGTTAATGGCTGATTTTAAAATTTGTTACCAAATCGTATAGTGTAATATGCAACTTTTACTATTGTATAAAGGCATGTTAGGATCCTAGCGATTTAAAGCATCTTACATTAATGAAATTGTTTTACTTACTCGTTACATAATATTTATACAGAGGAAATGAATGTACTCAGGAAAAATTATTATTAATCTCACTGTTAAATGATTTCAATATTGATCTGTAAATCATCTGTGAGTCCAAGTATATAAGGCATCAAAACTACGCAATATGTATGTAAAAACAAACAGTACGAGAAAATGTCTTTTATACTATTGTATTTTATTAAATTTCAATACTGATTATATATCATTAAATTGTCTAAACGTTTGCTTTAATTTTTAACAAACAAACATATGTAGGAATTAGGAATATTCAAATTGTGAACATATACATTTTCATGTAATAAAACGGGATTTGAGGTAAAAATTGTAATTCATTTGATAGAAACCCTGATCATCGAATATTTAAAATCTACTCACATGATTCATCCAGCAATTAGAAATATTAAATTAATAATTTTGTTACAGTGGCACAAATTAAAAGTACTACATGTACGATTGCGACATTTTATACCGATCGATCCTCCTCTGCGTATATTTGTGTGCTCTCGTATACAACGGAATTCTGGAAGCACGTTGTGACGATAATCCAAAAATTGGAATATTCACTTTTCTCCAATCTTGATTATACGGTAATGAACTTCTCCATTCTTTATCGTGTCTATAATTATTCATTAACGAAGGCATACGATAATCTATACAATTCATTTCTTTCTCGTGTATGTGAGAAATGCCAGGATGCAGCAGTTCTTCGTTATAACATTCTCTAATCAAGTACTTCCGATACAGACGGTTTTCTGACAGACGCGACGACAAGACGGGACGCGTCGCCGTGCGATTTTTCGTGCACGCAACGTGGGCATCGCGGACACACGTTTCTTTATCGAACAATAAAACTCCACTGTTGTTACATTTTATTATACGAAGCAAAACGGACTCATGTTGAGTGCCGACACTTATCTTTTCCTCAAAGCTCTGCCCGTGCTCGGTTACAACGCCTGCATCTTGCGATTGCCTCGGAGTATACTGAGTTCCCGAGTTGCGGAGTGATGCTGACACAGTTACATCAATGTCACGGTTCTCTGAATGTGCAGTAATTTCTTTATCTTTGACAGAAGGCTTTTTTTCTACCGCCGCTTCTACAAACGTGGTTCGATTTTCCGGAAGATCCAAAGATGAGTGATTCTCCATGGGAGGTCCATATAGCACTTCTACGTCTTTCGAATTTTCATAGAAAGCTGTAAATTGATCTGTACTATTTTCTGAGACTTGAGCCTGAATCGAGTTTAAATTCAAGCTAGTCTTCGGAGAGCCTTCACTCTTTGACTTGTATCTGGGACAAAACTGATTTGATAACCGTTTCTTTGAACAGTTTGCGGCTGCATATATTTTTAAAATGTTATCCGCACATTCTTTTATTTTGTTCAAAATAATAAATGTATCGATTGCATTTTCTTTTCTGACACATTTTTCTTGAGCTGAAAATAATTATAAAACACATAATTACAATATATTTTAATTTGTTTAGAATTTATCACTTTCAAAAATATTTTATCAAAATACTAACTATTCTCGGTATGTTTTCTGTTATCTGAAACAAGAGCATGTTTCATTAATTCTAGAAAAGTTTTTATAAATATGGCTATAACATTATCTTTCTCTGTTTCTTTCAGACACGATAAACAACTTGGACTTTCTAATTCAATAGCAGAACTAGTAGCAAAGTGTGTACTATCATTTGCAAATTTGTGTGGTTCACAAATAGTCGTTTCAAAAGCTGTGGAAAAAACATACATACAAGTTATTATATTTATAAAATAAACTAAAGTTACGTTAATATAAAAAGCAATAGTTTACAATCAGAATTCACATCATCCTTTTTTAATGCGAGCGATGAAACAGAAAGCATTTTCGTCTTCTCTTGCAAAGGTCTTATTTTTTCCAAATATTGAAGTAAAGCTTGTGTCAGCATAGAGTTATGTTTAATAATCTCTATTGCATTACGAGAAGTTCCTTTAACGCAAACTTTCTCTGCTCCTGAATGGATATTTAAACATTTTATTGCTTACGTTTTAGTTTAAAATTAAATAAACAAAAAATTATTGTTAATGCAAAATATTTTGAGACATTAATAGAACCTTTCTGATCTTGACACAAATCGGTATTTTGACATTTATCAATTGTCGACCGCTTCAATTTAAAATCTGTCTGTTTTAGAGGAACACAATTTCTATCGCTGGAGATTAATAGAAAATTCGGCACAGAGCATTCGACAGTCTTGAATTTTATTTCAATTACATTTTGCATATCCTCAGGACATTGCATAGTTTTCCTACCAACTTGTTTCGATTCTTGTATTGTTGAAGAGCATTTTTCAAAAGTTAGACAATTATTGCAGTTTTCACGTGACACGCAGATTGTATTCTGAATTCCTTTATCAGTACGTTTCACCGTATTTGCTGCTACCTGCTTTAATTCTTCTATGAAAGGTTTTGTTTGGACTTTTTTATGGCATTTTCGTATAGTATCTGCCACAGCATGATTCGGTTTTTGCAACATGGTCGCATCTTTAGATAGTAGAGTGACATTTGTTTTTGATACGGAAATTGTATTTTGTATTCCTTCATCGCGATGCTCGATGCTTCTTCCTGTTTGTTTCGCCAGTGGACTTATGTAATTGTGTGTGCCTTGGAGTTGCGGATGATATGAATGTGTTGTTATCAGCATATTGTTGTTATTCGCAGGATAGTCGGTATAGCTTGGAAAGTTACACGGAAAATTTGGACATGGAATTGTATCGTTGTATCTTCGACAATATGTATTGTTTCCTGTTCGATATGCATTATATCCTTCGTAAGGTTTATCAGCTAAATCGGTATATTTAGGAACTGCATTATCCAATAAATTAGTTTGATCGCAAATTTCCTTAGAAGTTACATTTAGTTTTTTAGAGTTAATATCTTCCCAACCACAAGACGGGCATTGGAGCAGTCCCGTATTATTTCTTTCTTCCTTAATTTTGACATTTAATATGGCAGGATCTTCTGTCGAATTTTTGGAAATAATAAATAAATTCAACAATAAATCGCTACTTCAGAATTATATGCTTACTTTTTAAATATATTTCTTTATCAGTTTTTGTATGTTTAATGTTCTTCCTGTGTTTTATTTTATAATCTTGTTTCGTTTCTTGCGCACAAGGAAAATTAATTGTATTTTTATATTTGCATGACGTGACACAATTTTTTAGAATATTAGGAGATATGGTTTTCATTCCTTTCTATATAACAAATAATTAATTTCAATTTTTATATTATTGTATTTCATTTTTAATGTAATTTAAATTTAATGAAAATTATATAATTATATTACGTCTTTTGTACGTGAAATTTATGTTATTACTATTTATTTTACCTGTAACTTGTCTTCATCAATGATTACTTTTGCTAACATTTCAGATATTATAGGAAGCCATGTAAGAGAAGATTTGTATGGTTTTTGCGATTGAAATCTTTCGATAATCCGCATTTGTTCTTGTCCATATCTAAATATATATAAAAGATGTTTCAAATTAATTCATTTTGGATGCATAAATGTATGAAGATTCTTATCACAGTCTTAGATGCATCGCAAATTATGATTCAATTGTAATATGTACATAGTGTATTATTGACGTTAAAAAAAATTTAATTTATATAATAACTACATCTTATTTCCGCTTTAAAAAATATTTTACACAAAAGCTTTACTTTTCCCTGATTACTTTAATCTGTTCTAGACAATCGGATATGTTCAATTCTGGTATGTTAAGTTCTTTAAGAATATTCTTCAGTGCTTCATTTTTGGCTGAGCAATTGTAATATTTTATATGATACGGATTCCAAAGACATGGATACTTTTTATACGCGTTTAGAAAAATTAAAGTAGAATTTTCATTCCATTGATAAGACATAATTATAATTTACATATTCTATGGACGGAAAACCTGCACAATTTTACACGACAACAACATGAAAGAAACTGCAATTATCTCAAGTGAATATATTTACTTATATCAGTATGTATTCAAAAGCGAGAAGTTCTCTATTATTTGAAGGCAGTGAATATTCCGACAGTTTACTAAAAGTTTTAAACGTGATTGTACAGTAAATATCTTGTGCAGAATATACATTTTATGAATTAATATATTACATTATTCTATTCGAGTAAAGAAGACCATATTATTCACTTATTTGCAGATTTTATATATTTATTAATGTTTGGCGTGATGATTTTATTATCTATCTATATATTAAATGTTAAAATACATAAAAACAATGATTTTAATGTTGCCAAAAATTTTTATTGCTCATACCTGCTATTTGTAGGAAAACCCGTAACTTTTTTCTTTATTGATTTTTGTTAAAAGTAAACATTCCTTTAATGTTAAGCCACAACTGCAAATTTCATCCTTACACATTACTTTACAATCGCCACAATCACAGCAGCAGATTGAGGTAATATTCTGATCCATTAGCTTAGATTCTAAAGTTTTTAATCGCGCCTTCGTTATTAGACTTTGTATTTCTTTCTTCAATTCCATAGCAGTTTCTGAAAATAAATTATGTTAATTTAGTGATGACGACTGCCTCGTGCTTATCAGCAGATTTTACTTACTAATATCAATAGTTCGCATTTGGAACGCCACGCTTTTTCCAAATATGTCAAAGTTATCCTCGGTTTTTCTTTTGCTGTATGCTCTTACAGAGGTATCGTCCACACGCGTGGAATAATCCTGTTATAAAAGATTTTATGTTTTTTCTAAAAAGTTGATAATTCAAACAATTTGCTGCATTTATCATTATTTAATAAACCTTCTTTTCTTCCTTGACGTATGCGACGTCGTATTTTTGCTCCTGCGTAATATTAATATAAATGAATACATTTGTATCGTATATTTATTAATATATCTTTCATTATTCGTTTCTAACATAAAATATATCCGTTTGCGTCTCGCGTTCGGCGATATCCCTACTAGTCCCTGCTGCTACATCAACTGTTTCGAAAGGAGTATAGACATCCTGCAGCTTCGGAGCAGAATGAATTGAATCTCTGCACTTGAAAAATATCGTGATTTTATTTTGTGTGATGCCTTAGCGTTACATGTACAGAAAATAGGTACATAAATAGCAAACGACCTCAATGTTAAACGCAACTTGATCTCTGGCGGTTTACACGTTCCACAAGTGTCATTGGTGCAAATGTGTTTAACTTCTAATTTCTCAAAGGATGAATGAAAGAAATTGTCTTGGGTACCGCTATCGTTAAATTTTTGCTCTTTGCTGTCTAGCTGCAAATACATTCGTGCAAGATGTGGCGTATAAATATAACATACAATAATAGATACTATCATACACAATTGGAAGTCGCAACATTGGTTTTATAAGACATTGTTATTTATGATCTTATGATTAGCATTACATTGTCATACACAAATGTGGCTTAGCAAAAATTAAGGCTGCACTTAACAATTAATAAGCAATTCCTTAAATACTGCATGTTGTACCTTTTTGTGGGATGACGACTTATATGGGAAAAAGAGCATGTGCATTCCTTTAAACCATTTCGCCTTTGGTGTATACAACTTTTCGCAAAATACAGCTGCAGCAATCTTTGACAGTTCATAACAGTATTCTTTCTTTACACTCGTAATTCTCTCAATGCAATCGCATATTGTTAATCCGGGAATATCGACAGAACTTTTGATTTCCTTGTAAGCTTTGTAACGTGACGATTTGTTACTGAACTCGGGATGAAACGGATTCCACAAACACTGATACTGTCCATAAAGCGCTACTAATTTTTCGGTGTCATCCTCAGTCCACGCATTTGGCATATTAAAAAATATAATTTATGATAAATCAATCAGGTAATTTTTAACCTTTTCGATCGACACTATATCTATATCAAAAAATATATTTAAATATATTAGTCATTTTGTTCTTAGATTTATATTAAGATGGTATCTCTTGGAAGATGTGCGCCAACAAGAATATATCACAAGCCCATTCATTGTACTGTTTAATCGTAAATGCACGGAAATTTAAAGACATGAAAAAAAGTTGAATGATACATTGTATCATTAGAAATAAATGAAAGGCTTGAAGAAGACGATATTACAAATCTCATTTATATACCTATTTCAAGTATACTTTCATACATATTTCCTGTTCAGGTGTCACATATGCTAGCGATATAAATTAAATATGTTTGTAAATCTTTCTCTTCTTTTATAATTTATATGGCAATATTCTTCGCTGTTATCAAGTGTATAATTTCTGATGTATAACAATGCCTCGTTGTTGTAAATTTATTTTGATCTTACTGCTACAGTTCTATTGTCTATTAGTATCTTTTTTTATTTTTAGTTCTTGTAAATATTGGTCGTTTTATTAATTTTGGGCGGCTTAGAAATATTTTTTAGTATAGTACTATCATTAAAAAATGATAAGCACTACATTATTATGTACGTTTAAATCTAAAGTTACTATATAATATGACTGTTATCATATGGCAAGTTTATCATAAATATTATATGATATATAATCAATTATTTTTTTACGACGGATTAATTGGATTGCAATTCTTCTTCATAGACTAGAGCTGATACTTGATAAAATAACTAAAAAATTTATACACAATACATATGTTGTGTAAGATAAGACGTTACTGATAAACTGATATCCGATTGATAACCGCGAGTTATATAATTAAATAATAAATGTGTTCTGTCTTCTTTTCAAAGAAAAATATACATTCTAAATAGATTTCTAAATAGATGAGTTCAAATAATCGGTAAATCAACGGTAAATTACGTTATTTGTAAATTATATACAGCAATTTTTGTATATAGCAATTTGATATATGCATTATTCTTCATTCGCGATTATCTATTGTTAATTTATTCTATATAATTATATCTTACTGTGCTTAAATCTATATTGCTTGCGCTATAAATATACTTTTACGACGTCGTTTCAATCGTCGCAGACAATGTAGGTAGCTGTTGTGGAACAAAGTTTACAACCTCATGATATACAAGTTCTGCAAATGAGAACGTCCGTCATTCGAAATGTAAAAATGTTTTAAACTGAGATAGGAAATAATAAAAGTTACCCTTCCACTTCTCCACTGGTAGATCCATATCCTCGAAGCTTTGATCGTATGGTAAAGAAACGGGCTCGTCAGTTGGATCTGCATATTGCGCAAGATACGAATGTGCTAAGGCCTGCTCTGCGGTGATTCTTTTTTCTGCGTCGAGTTCCAACATCAATTCCAGCAAATCAATGGCTAAATAAAAATTAAAAATTATTTTACTTGTTCAATACGTGTGTATCTTTAAAATTCTCATAAAAGCAATTTTTACTTACCTAAAGGATTAGCTCCACGAAATACCTCTTTAAAATTCTTCTTCTTCAGTGGTGGTAAACTTTGAATATAATTTCTGGCCTGTAATCATAATTCAATCGTGGTAGAAAAATAGCACCATTCATACTATTTCGAGAGATCAATAATCTGTATTTATTGTAATATTTCTTTCTATCAGTCGTTAGATATGTGTAATCTATAGAAATTTTCTGTGTAGAGTTGTTCTGCATATTGTAGAAAGATCTTAGAAGTTTTAATGGAAATTTTTATAATGTAACCAAAAAATTATAAGATTTATTTTTATGAAATAAATATATGAGAAATCAAGATGTCCAAAAATTACACACATGTATACATTTCTTTTATATACTGAGTCTTAATACAAAATCTAATATATCGAGTTTTAAAAAAAATTTACCTCTTGGCTAGTAACTTTGCTTAATGTTTCACCTGTAGGTGTACCACAAAGTACTAACACTCGTGTTAGGTGATCAATGTCTGCTTATGGTTAAGGTATGTTTAAAAGCAATATTAATTATACAACAGAAAAATGATTTTAACAACGCTATATCAAGAGATAGATATATACATCAAACCATTCCCATAAATTGTAAGTCATTGCATCTAAAGCAAGCTGCATATTTGTTAAAAAAAACAGCGTGAACTGATCCGAATAAAGAAGTATGCAACAAAATTTAATTTTATACATTTTTTATCAATATGCCATATCTACATATGTCGAATTTTGTATATCATTCAAACAATTATGATCAAGAGACATATCTTATCCCATAATTGATCTTGCAATTTATGTTTAAATTTTTCTATTTATATACATATAATAATTACATAATTGCATATGTGTTACCTTTAATACTATATATATTATCGTCCATATAAAATATAGTTGCAAGTTATCAAAGTATAAATTTGTTACATTTGTATTAATTGCATCAATAATAATTTATTAAACTCATCGTAAACTTGCCAAGTGTAATATTGATGTGTCATTTAATAAAGGAAAGATATAAGCATAACTCATATGTAAGATTTGTAATACATGCATATTTCATGCTCTAATAATAAATCACTAAAAATCAGCAAAAATAACTTACCGATTCTGATGATATTTTTTTCATGAACTCGTCTCGTGGAGTACCCAAAATTTCCATAATTAAATTCAGTTGATGAATATCTGCTCTTGCTAAGGCTCCACTATATTTCTCTTCAAACACACTAAATATCCCCTTTGTTAGATATCTTTTATCATTTCTAAAAGCAATATGCAACGAGTATATTCCCTTAATTTAACATTAATATTTTTATCTGCAGGATGTGTTCATCATATTATATTCATGCTCAATTTGCAGACAGCTTTTAGATTATATTGCAATAATAATGCAAAGCAAATTGCTTTCTAAAAGCATTAAGCAGAATATGTCGAGATACTAGCTTTAATAGTTCGATACAATAATAGCAAGTCAGTTATTGTAGATCCTTAGCAAAAAGCATATGTATTAAAGAATATTATAAGCAAACGAAACAAAGTGAAATATTTATCAAGATTAATTAGTATAGAAACGTGTTAAAAACATAAAATATACATTTATCGTGAAAGAAATATTGACGTGAAAAATATTGGGGATTAGTAGTAACAACACAAATTTGTCAAATGACTTAAAGGATACGATCTGTTCCAGGAAATAATGTTCTTCCAGTTAACAATTCTGCCATAATGCATCCTACTGACCAAATGTCGACTAAAATGTATAATAATTATATTACAATGTTGTAATATAAAAGATTCTAAAGTATCTATATTTTATAAGATAGAGCACATAATATATCCTTCTTCACTAATATCTTTTTAATACAATTGCTAACCTGTTTGATTATAATGCATCCAATTAAGCATGATTTCAGGTGCTCTGTACCACCTAGTAGCGACATAACCGGTCATTTCATTTTCTGTGGGTCTGGCCAAGCCAAAATCCAGTATTTTCAACTCACAATCCTCATTGACAGCTATGTTAGATGGCTTCAAGTCCTAGAAATTGAATCAAATTTATAAGAAACTGCTCTCATACTTTTTATATATTTTCATAAACATAAAATACATTATCATACCCTGTGTATAATTCCCGCAGAATGAATATATTTCAATCCACGAAGTATTTGATAAACAAGAAATTGTACATGATCATCTGAGAGCTTTTGTGTTCTGACAATATTGTTCAGATCAGCACCCATTAGATGTGTGACCAGATATCTAGACAGATGGACATCAAGTTAAATTTAATATCGCAAGATAAAATTAATCCCCATATGCGTGTCAAGTGATACTTACACATGTTGAAAATCTTCCAAAGATGAAGACGGATGAAATACGTCTAATAGTCCTATCACCTATGAGACATCAACATATATCTTTGAAAATGATTAGAAATATATAACGCTGATTGAGTTTACCCACATTTTCATGATTCATGTGCTTCAGCATACGCAGCTCCCTGTATGTGCGTTTTGCGTGTACAGCTGACTGAAATGGCCTAGCCAACTTCTTAATCGCTACTTTTTGCCCAGTGGTTGTATCCACGGCTGAACTGAAATATAAAACATATATTTTTTATTTTTTATAACATGATTCCATTCATCTTTCTTATTAATACATTGTGAGTAAATATATATAATTTGTTAATAAGTTATTATAAACTTTTCTGTCATTCATTATTATAAATTACATTATAAATTATGATAATATCAGGCATTGCAGATTCAATTAACTTTGTAGTAATACATCTTCGGAATTATTTTATATAATTTGTTTTTTTTTTTCAAGTTTTCCCTAAAGATTCAATATAATCATTTTAATATTAAAAGCATAAAAAATTAAAGTTGAGACGAATATTTTAATCTATTGCATGCAAGACTATATATCATATTTGTCTCTCGAACGCCGACAAACATTGTGCATCGTTCCAAATTTATTCTATTTTCGCAAAAATACAAGACGCATGCGCGATCCCTCAGAATTAATACATCCCCCGTATTAATTATAGCCAGAACCTTTTCTACGACGAAGAATAATCGCGTGACAATAATCTCATCGCTTTATGTGAACAGAAATGTCGCAAATGTCATGGTCGTGATCGGTTCACGGTCGTCCCAATACTCTCTCCAATAGTCTCCAACTGTCAGTCGATCAATTGTCACCTGTTTAGTGACAGTTAACCAGCCGAACAATACAGAAGCGCGAAAGATGTCTAAAAAACAGTTTAAAGGGCACACAGTAAGATTAGAGCATTTCTTGATTGCGATCTCCTCCGGACGCCACGGTGTGAAATATGTCGGCAAGATTTTGCGCGCGTATGCAATGAAATGCAGCAATGCTAAATATTGTCGCTCGTGTTGTTACTTACCAGACTTGGCCATAGGCACCCGAGCCTACGGGAGTGAGCAATTGATATCGCTCCGGTACCTCCCATTCTGTCCTGTTGATCTCGATCTTGTAAAACTGCGGCATGCTCCTCTGCTGAACACGATGTTGCAATTCTTCCCTGCCGTTCCCTCTACTGCGGAATACGATGACCGGTACGATGTGTGTTTTTCTCGCATTCACCCACCACGAACTATCGCACGTAACACTTCATTTCCAAATTAGCCGTGCGCACCGCTAATCGCTACGAGTCCATCGTGTATAGACACTGTGTTGTAACGTATAGGATTTTCCAATCGATTCTTGCAGCACGATCGACCGCGTCACGAGCACACTCTGAAATCTTCGGCGAGTGATGACGCCATTACGAGAATCGATAGTCACAGTCGAGCGATTATTATCGATCATGTGATATGCGCCAAATTTAAAAATACCTATAAATAAAAAAATTATAAGTTTGAGAATAATAGGATAGTAATTTTATAAAATTATATTATATAATTACTTTACTTAATTCCCATTTGTTATTGTTATATTTAATTGGAAATAGTAAAATTGTAATGTGAAATGTAACATTGTAATGTGAAAAATAAAATATGTAAAGAAAAATAAAGGCAAATCTAAATGTATCATGAATTCCTTATTCCATTAATAATTATAAATATATTGCTTAATATATGTTATATTTTGCTATTTATTTTGCTAATTATTACATATTACACACACTTATTTTATATTTTACATACTTTACACACTATCTTTCCTTTAGTCGTTCTCTCTTGCACTTTTTGCAACTTTGAAATGAAATAGAAATACATTTATGTTTTGGAGGAAGAAAGAGAAGAAAATCGAAGTGCAGAAAGTATAATTAAACGAACAGATCTTAATTTGCCACGTTGTGCGCCAGGCTTTAGTCCACACTCGTGTCTGCTCTCCTCGATTCGTTTGATGTGTTAACATGACGGATATTGCATGAAAATTACGTGTCAGGTTTTCACGATATTTGCATCATCATTGTCGATAAATGAGTACGACGGAAAACGAAGCGATGGAGGAATACGAACCCTCCATCAAAAATGTAATCGACCAACTTTCCTTACGATGGATCTTCGTGGGCGGCAAAGGCGGAGTCGGGAAAACAACTTGCAGGTATACATAACCTGGGGAAATATCGTTTATCAGTAACATTTCAATGAAATAAATCAATAAAAATCCAATATAACGTATACACATTTTTCTATATAAATATTTGGTTATGACATAAGATATTAGAAATTTTTTTCATAAAACTATATAAAATTCTACAATAATTTAGCTACATTTTACTTCAAATAAAAAAATATATTAAAGTTCTTATTTTTGCTGCTTTTTTTCAAGTATAAAAAAAAATATGATTTATATAATTAAAAAATTATGCAAGAACTGATCTAATCTTTATCTTACAGTTGTTCTTTGGCAGTACAGCTGTCTAAAGTTAGAGAGAGTGTCCTTATCATATCCACGGATCCAGCGCATAATATCTCTGATGCATTTGATCAGAAGTTTAGTAAGATACCCACAAAGGTGAAAGGTTTTGATAATTTATTTGCAATGGAGATTGATCCTAATGTTGGTGTTACGGAATTGCCAGAGGAATATTTTGACAGTGATGCAGGTTTGTTGTTAAAATTATTTTATTTTTAATATGTGTCTAAATGAGAAATTCTCTTGCTAAAGATTAAGCATAATGGTAATATTTGATGTACATTTAAAACAAAAATAAAATATTAGAGATAAGATTTTTTTTTAATATATTTGTCATTGTATCAGCAAGAAATAATAGAATAAAAAAATCTTGCTTTTTATCAGTTTCAGGAGGAGAAGCAATGCGATTAGGCAAAAGTGTCATGCAAGAAATTGTTGGTGCATTTCCTGGTATAGATGAAGCTATGAGCTATGCGGAAGTTATGAAGTAAAGTTATGCTTTTCTATTTCTCACTTTTGTGAAATGTTAAGAGAATAATTTTTTGTTATCAACTCTAAAATTATACATGTCTCAAAAAAATTTTTTTTACTTATTTGCTTGTTTTAAAACAGGATTTTTTCTTGCTTTTGCATAAACAATTACAATTGAAGAAGTAAAATCAACAATTTATCTTCGAGTATAATAAATCAATAGTAAATTAATTTATTTAAAGCATATAATTATATATATATTTTTCATCAATATTGAATTCTGCTTCTAGGCTTGTAAAAGGAATGAACTTTTCTGTTGTGGTATTTGATACTGCACCCACCGGACATACTTTAAGGTTACTATCGTTTCCACAAGTTGTTGAAAAAGGATTGGGAAAATTAATGCGTTTGAAAATGAAGATTAGTCCTCTCATCACACAGGTTGGACAATGCATTTTGGATTATACAGAAATTATTAATATATACTAAAAAAGTATCAAGCATTTGTAAATGATTCAAATTGAAAAAATCTTTATGTTGTAGATAAGTTCATTATTGGGATTGACAGATTTCAATGTGGATATATTTTCTAATAAAATGGAGGAAATGCTCGCTGTGATTCGGCAAGTTAATGAACAGTTCAAAAATCCCGATCAGACGACTTTTATATGTGTTTGCATAGCAGAATTTCTGTCGCTCTATGAAACAGAACGACTTGTACAAGAATTAACAAAATATGGTATTGATACTCATAATATCATAGTGAATCAATTATTATTCTTGAAAGAAGGAGATAGTCCATGCCGGTTTTGTCTCGCGAGGCATAAGATTCAGGAAAAGTATCTAGATCAGGTAAATAATAATCGAATTTATTATTGATATTAATAAATTCAAAAATTATTTATTAAGTTTTTATATTTACAATTTTTAATTATAGTAATTAAACATTTTTTTAAATACTCTACACTAATATACTTTATTAAAAGTGAAACAAATTATAAAAACCCTGCAAACTAAATATTACTTATTTTCTTTCAAGATAATGGATCTGTATGAAGAGTTTAACGTTACACGGCTTCCTTTATTGGAGAGGGAAGTGCGCGGAGTACAGCAGGTCAGGGAATTTTCAGAAAATCTTATCAAACCTTATAAGCCTTAGCATCTACATAATTAATGTGTAATAACAATACATTGCATCTAATTTGAAATTTTGTACACTTGCGATCATGCGTGTTGGAAATATTTGTATAAAGAATCGTATACCTTCATCATATTTCTCTATTAAGCTATTTGTTATTGCACGTGTTAACAAATTCAGTGTTGCATTTGCGCGCACTATATTTGCAATATTTTTGCAATATTTGCAACATTTAATTTGTGTACAAAAATGTATTCAAAATTGTATACAAAAATCAGTTTTCAGACGGAAAAATATTTATGCATATAATGATAAAAAATACATATTGGAAACAAAATTATTCAACATTTCTTTCACATAATTGAAGATATAATAGGACTTTATGGAATCACTGTAAACTCTTTCCCGATTTGTATGAAAGCATTTACGGCATGATTTATGTCTTCAGTCGAATGCGCTGCACTAATTTGAACACGTATTCTTGCTTTATCCTTTGGTACTACAGGATAACTAAATCCAATAACGTAAATTCCTTTTTCTGTAAAAAACATTTTTATTTATGCGAAACATTATAGAACTGAAAAAAATGCTGCCGTATGTTTTATCATATATTTAACATTTTTAACGATTTTATAATTATTTTTGAAAAATATATATGTACACATACCCATCATTTTATCTGCGAATGTTGTTGCTAATTTCGCATCGCCCAACATAACAGGACAGATAGGATGATTATCGCCGCTGATAGTAAAACCAGCCTTGGTCATCGCATCTCTGAAATGCTCAGTATTACCTGCTAAACGATCCAAAAACTTTGTGCTGTCCGTTATCAGATCCATCACCTATTCATAATGCGTAGATGTGCCTTAGATTTGATATAATTTCTATTTTATGCTTTTCTTTTAATTAATATGCAGTATTTATTATTAATTAATTAATCATAACGTAATAATTTACCTTACTTGCCGATGCAACAACAGGCGGAGGCACTGAATTTGAGAACAGATACGGTCTACTTCTTTGTCTTAGCAAACTGATAATCTCTTTTTTACTAGTCGTGTAACCACCTGCTGCTCCTCCGAGAGCTTTTCCTAACGTAGAATTGATGATGTCAATACCTCCTAGATGACCAAAATACTCTTCCGTACCTCTAAAATAAAATGAAATAAAAAATATTGAGAAATAATAGGTAACAATTTTTTTTAACATACCTGCCAGTTTTGCCAAAAAATCCAGTAGCATGGCAATCGTCTACGAATGTGATAGCGTCATACTTTTTAGCAAGCTCGATTATTTTCGACAATGGTGCAACAGTACCGTCCATGGAAAATACACCATCGGTTGCGATAAGGCGTAAACGTGCTGACTTGCTTTCCTGAAGCTTATTTTCCAAATCTGTCATATCTCGATGTTTGTATCTTAACATTGTAAATGAAAAAAAAGACATTGCAGCAATTTAGAAAATCTTGCATTTATAAATAAATAATAAACCAAGTCACCTATATTTTTTTGCTTTACATAATCGTATTCCGTCGATGATAGACGCATGATTTAGCTCGTCACTTAACACCGCGTCATCAGCAGTCAATAAAGTTTCAAAAACACCAGCATTCGCATCAAAGCAGGATGCATAAAGTATTGTATCTTCTCTGCCGTGAAATATAGCGATTTTCTTTTCTAATTCGACATGTATTTCCTGCGTTCCGCATATAAATCTCACAGAACTCAAACCAGCGCCATATTTATCTAATGCATTTTTTGCTGCATTAATAACATCCTTGTTGTCCTGAATTTAACAAAATTTTATCAAATTTTTAGAAAATATAAAATTGCATTATGTATTTATCTTGCCAATCGTTCAATCTTGTATAATTCTTTTAAAATTCTATTTTACCGCTAGACCCAAATAATTGTTCGCGCAAAAATTGAGCGCCTTTTTCCCGTTCGACAATGTAATTCTCGTTCGTTGAGGTGAAGCAATTATGCGTTCATTTTTCCATGTGCCAGCTTTTTCTATAGCTACCAATTCGGGTTTTACACAAGCAACGAGAGAACTTACTGTTCGCTGAATGTTCCATCTGATATCTTGAACTTTGAAAATTGTAAAAAAAAATTAAATCATATAATCGTTTAAAATAATTTTACGTAAACAATAGTCACGAAATAAACATACTTTTCCGAAATTTGCTATACATATTGCGATAAAATCATTCACTACTTTTAACTCCAATCAATGCTGATAAATAACTGATTTTAGATGAAAATAATCCGACTTGATCTAGAAGGTAGTCAAACCAGTTTTACATCTACACATGTATAGTAAATGTATGTCACATATTTACAACGTCATACATCTTTGCGTGCGCTGGGTAATTATTATTACACAATAAAAATCGAGTAAACATGTCACATCATATGTGAGATAACAGGATAGATATTTTTGTGAATTAATAAATGATGATTGAATGATGATGATAATAAATAATGATTTTTAAATAGATTTACATATCGATGCCACTAATGAAAAGTATTGTAATTTTTTAAATAATCACAATTATTAGTCAATGCTATCTTAACAGTAATGCTTTTCAAAATTTCTTTCAACATGACATAAAATTGCAAATGCTAAGCAATGTATGAAATGATTATTAAACTACATGGATTTATTAGTGCTACTTTATGAACTCTAATAATTCCCATGAAGAATTAGAGTTTACAATTACAATACTTTATATCAGTGGACTCGATATTAATCGCATGTTAATAGGGTATTTAAAATTCAAAAATAAAATTATATTTATTCTTTTATCTTGTATATTTCAACCATTTTAATAATTTTACCATAAATTTCTTGACTTCCATCTAAATCTGTACCTGCTTACCCATTAATATATAATAATGTATTAAGTACTCCACATACATACACACACACACACACACACACACATTCATATATTTAACTCGTCACATAAATCCTAATTTGCATTTAACAGATTGTGAGCAGTACGTAGTTAAAACATTTGTTTCATATTTTACTAAACAATAGTAAAATAACAGTTCATTACAATAATTAATGCAAACTATTTGTATTATAAAGAAAATTCAATGTAGATTAACATTAATAAGTTTTATATTGTACTGTAGTTCAACCAAAAAGCAAGATTTGTACTAAAATGTTAAATTAAGATATAGAAAACTTTTACGCTGCTACCACATTAATGAGCATCTTTTAGAATTACCAAAACTAACAATAAGCTTGAAGCTTTCTTCTTGGTTGCATCTACTTGTAAAGTATACATGCTATATTATATATTGTATATTTATTCCATATATTATCAAGCGTGAAGCTGTCTTCTTTTCTACATCTTTCTGTATACGTATTTTTTTATGTATATAAAGAAAAAGTAAAAATGAGATCAAAGTTTTATTTAATCATTAAAAATAAAGAATTGATTTCATTCCTAAAGGATATTAAAATTAATAAATTTACAATTACTTATAAAGCATCTTTAATAAATATAGGCTTGAAATATCTACCATTAGATACATATATTAAATTTTATAGCGATTTACGTTCCCATGTAATAATTTTCCAGTCTTTATTTCATAAATCATAACTTGCATCCTGATATCTCACTATTTGGTCGATCATAAATTGGTCTTAATTATCACCTTTCTTTATATGGCAGTTCAACTAGAGAACAATTTCTATTTACACGAAAATATTATACTTTTTCTCAATGTCTAAATATCGTTATATTGCTGGAAGAGATTACGAGAGGGTAGCGATATTCGATTGAGCATTATGAATATGTAATCTTCATAGTTATTCTACAATTAAAAGTTTATGAAATAAATATACAAATCAACTTGTATACTTGCCTTTATCGCAAATTATTCGCCTTTGGCAATTACCTAAATATACATCAATATACAATTATTTTGGAGTACTCATAGCACTTTGGAGGAAATATATTAACTCTTTAAGAGCTACAGTCAACTTTTTAGTGTAAGTTGATCGTTTAACTGACTGGAAATTTTTAAAAACTTTCTCCAATACATTCAATTTTCGTTTGTAAATGCGAAATAAGATTTAAGCCGTCTTGCTCTTTGCAGAAAATCTCGTTGCTAGAGAATAAATGCGTGGAAAATTATGTATAATCATGTAAAATATCCCCAAATACACGATTATGCCGAATGTAAGAAAGAGATCAAACACAGCCGGCTTTACACTGTAATAGAATATAAATAACATATGCAGTTAATGCCAATCACTATTTATCACAAATGCGTTATAAAATAAGAAGACTATACTTTACCTATATACATTTAGATTTGCTTTTGTGACATCATAGAATACGAATTCTGGATCTCGTTTATCAGGAGTATGGAGAGTAATTTTAACCTCTCCCAAGTATCTCGCCATTGCTTCTTTCAAAGTACCGACTAGTAAGTTGTGTTTGTCTGCTAGTAAAGATGCTGCTCTTGGTTGAGAAGCAAAGTAATTAAACCATAAAGAGAGCGATTCTTTCGACACATCCTGCAAAGAGAGATTTTTTACGTATAAATATGCACAGAATATAAAGACAGTGAGCGCAAAAATTTATAACAACAATCGTACCAGTGAACCAGAAAAGATTTGACTAGAACTTAAGTTGTATATATGTCGTGCTAATGCTTCAGATATAACTTGAGTATGCTTGTATAATATGTCTACTTGTCCTTCCTTAGCAACGTCTAATATAGTACTTCTAATTGGATCTTCGTGACTTTTTAATGTGGATAAAGTCGCAGCTGGCAATCTCCGAATACTGTATCTTTCGTGTTCCCAAGCTAATGTTTCTTCCGCAAGATTGATCTTCTTATGCACACCTTCAACATTGACAGTATTTAGGGATTGCGACACAGTTTTCAGTTCCTTGTAAAACAAACCACCCGACGAATTCTCTTTAGGTGGCTTTGATACGTGTACATATAAATTATCGCTCACAGAAACTGTGTCAAGACATATTACATAAGCTGCATCCTATATTCAAAACAGATATTGTATATATTATATTTATTAAAAATAATAGAGATATTAAAATTAACCATAAGTATTATTAATTGATATTAATTCATTGCATTACCTGTATAATAGATCCTTCAAGTCCATCCAATTGATCCTCCAGCCATTTCTTACTACCCTGATAGTTTAATTTGCCAGCTCCAGTTGCAATAAAAACAATATTATACTGCGGTCTTGATCGACCTGTCGAATACAAAGCAGAGAACAGTCGCGCTATTTCTAATAACATAGCTATACCGGAAGCATTGCTGTCTGCACCAAAGGACAGTTCCTATAATAGCAATGAAATATACATGTTAGCACACATCAGGTGAGTATCAAGAATCAGTTGTAGATTTTAATAATAACTTACAGGTACTACCCCAATGCTATCATAATGTGTTACTATTGCTATAGTAGGTAATTTCTCCTCAGCGCCAGTTCCAGTTAACTTGCCATGCAGTGTGGCAACCTTAACATCTGTTTTAGGAAGTGCCTGTGCAGTGGTTACCACTACTTGATAACCACTGGCGGAAATTGAGTTGTACATAGCCTCTGCTGCGGTGCCAGCTTTTTCATCAGTAATAAAACCATCTGCAATATCGTCCAGAATTGTTTGAAGATTTGGATGCCACAGTGCAAAGTATACTGGTATCATCGTCTCAGAGCCATACATCATAGCCTCTTCTAGATTCATGATGTGCTAAAATTAAAACAAATTATCAACTAATTAGTAATAAATTCATTTTAGTTGTTAACAATAGCAATATTATAAAACATCAAAGCTGTATTAATTTTATTACCAACCTGCTCTTCCTCTATTGTAAGCTCATTTATTTTCTCAGGCAGAACAATTACCAATGCGCCAGCCTTGCTTTTAATGGACTGGAAGACAGACGGCGTGATATCCAAAGCTTTTGCAACAACGCAGTGTCTAGAAGTACTCCATCCAGTCAATGATCTCGCCTCCAAGGAAACCGGTGCATTTCGACAACCTGGTGAAAATTTTCATTAATTCTTTAAAAACCGTACGATCTTTAAAGATTATCACAGACAAAAGTGATATCTCACCATGTGGAACTCCGTGCAAGTCATACTGATGCATACGATATACAGGGAACTCGTGGGAAGCGGCTACAGGATTAACCGGAGAGATGATAATGAAAATCGGCAGAACTATTAATAAATAGTACGGCAAATATCCCCGACACAGTTCGGCGAAACTGTGCGCATTCTTCTAGCCACATATTTCCACCGAGAGCGCTATACTATCAGTTCAAACAAAGCAGTTTTTCCGTAATTTCATTGACTTAATTCCATCAAGAAATTTCCTCGACGTACCCTTTTCGCCTCTGCAACGATGAATCCCCCTTTTCCGGTAGCCCGGTATCAGGTTGCGTTAGGTATGATTGGCTAAAAGCCCATCAAGCAAATTTATGTATTCTTCATTAATGTCTTCCGGTAGTTTACAATTAGTTGCGTTCATTAAACATTTTATAATGATAAATCACTTTTATAATTATTTTCCTAATATTTATTGAAACATTTCGAATATTGTTTCTGAGCCTAGCAGTAGAATCAGTTTTAATTTAATTGCACTTTCTGTATTTATTTTTTCTCTATGCAAGAAGTGCAACCAACACAACAGATTCAATTACTGCAATTCGATTGGTCCGTAGTTTCCATTGTTTTAAAGGTACATCCAAATAAACTTGCATAAACTCATACATAAGGATTGATCCATTTTGTTTGAATATCTTAGGTCTTGCACACAAGACACGTTGACGCGCGGCTAAAGGCGACATGCTAGCCAATCAATCTTTTGTTCTTACGTTCTAAAACAGTAGTTGCCCTAAGGTCGAATTCGCGCGGCAAATGATAATTAAAATGGGATGTTTTGATTGGTTAATTTGTGACGCGGCGGATAACGCGACGCGTGACGCGCTCAGTGGGAATTCGGCCTAATAGCGTTTTCGATTGCACGGATTTTTATCGACCCAGGTTGATCAATCACTATTTTACTATAAATTCATGTCTTTTATTGATGGAGATGATCTCATTAATCAACCTTCGGTCGATCAAAATCGCGAAAAAATTCGACGATAATTAGCTAATTTGCTTACTGCTTAGGTCTTACTTAAACCATTGCACATGCAGTGGATATAAAACAAAAATAAAAAATGAATAATGAAGCTTTATTTTACATGCTCCCATTAAAATATTATTTTGGTGAAATAAAACTAAATTTTGTTTCTTTATAAAATCATAAAAAAATAATTATAAAACAGATTTTACATGAAATACTATCAAAAAATTTCACTTGTTACGTTTTACATTCAATATTTCTTAAAAAATCTTTTATTTTTGATTTATAAATTCTGTAGAGAATATTTTATTCAAATATCTTTCTCAAATTTCAATTTTAATTTAAATTAATCGTGTTAACAAAATTTTAGAAAAATCATAATCAGAACCGAAAAAACTGTTGTTTAAAGAGTTCCAGTTCTTTTTTATCAAAAAAACCGAAACTGGAACCGAACTAATTATATATTTCGTTTCAAACCATAACTGTAAACCGTATCGAAATATCACATTGGTCCGAGTTCCTGATTTTAATTTTTAACAATTGGCAATATTGATATTCAGTTAATTAAAAATGGCTGTAAGTAGTGAAACGCGTTGCGGCCGCTCGTAGATCCGCTTTCAAATCGTTCTGTATTTGTTACCGTAAACCACACTAAGTGTTTAACATAGTATATATATCGTGTGCAATTGTTATTTTACATTGATATCGTGATTTCGGTGCCTGTAATCCGTTTAATGTATCCGTAATTGATCGTGCCGCGAGTGACCGCGAAACCGCGAAATCGCGTTTGAATCGCTCCGTGTGAATCGCTTTCGTGAATATCATTGTCTGAAATCTGAATCCCGTGTGCGAAGAATAATCGCGTGTGATATTAAGGAAGTATAGGACTTTCTTCCTAATGCTATAAACATCAGTGCTGTAAACAGCCGTTATTCCGATGCCGCTTCTGTATTAGAAGTTCGCCGAAATTATTCTCGATTGTTTTCCTAGAAATGCAGCGCATGTGTGAGTGGTCTCATCTACATCGCCAGGTATGCACATATATATTATCGTCCTAAAGTTAAACTTTGCTGTTCGTATATCTCCCTACATCTCAGTCGATGCAGTCGATAGCCATATTACCGACGGTCAGCTATATTAGTTTTCAATTACCATCAAATATTCAATTATCATCAAATATATAAAAACTTTAACTTCCGTGATGAACTATTTACATTAAAGATGCCAGCACAATCAATAACTTCAAAAATTTAAACCTATGTGATAATCCTATGTAAATGTTGCATGTTTTCTCTGAATAGGCTAAAATTCTTTTAGCTAATCATTGATCTTTTCTTGTACTAACAAAATACTTCTGTATTTCTATATATATTATCAGAATCGTATGTTCATTATATGTTAAATTAAATTTATAAATTATTCACCAGACCAGTAAAAATATATTATCCGAGAAAAAATAAATCTTTCATTATCAAAAATAAATCTTTCATTATTTAGACTTTACTCTCTATTAGATTTGTATTTGAAAAAAAAGAAAAATGAGAAACAGCTGAACATTTCTATATTTATTGTTCATCGAATAATACTTTACGGATTTTGAGCTCCATTAATCTCTTAGTGATTCCATGCTTATTCGTAACGGTAGAGAAGTGTATCACGTCGACATAAAGGAAGTCGCGGGGATAAGGGAGGTGTCCACTTATGGGGTCTATCAAAACGCGGTTGGTCGTACGTGGGGCATGTTACATTCTCGGGCGGACCCCCGTTGTCATCGACAATGCGTCGTTCAATGCCACCTAATTCGCAACAATGGCCCCAGCAGCCATATATTAATGGTCCGTATAGTATACCCGTATAGTATATACTCGATGGCCGAACATTATATCGCCTTCGAGGATCGAGCGTGCCAGTGTTAGAGCCGGCAGCAGCCAAATCTGTGTCCTTCATGGTAGCGTTCCACGTGGATACGATGCGCTCGCACGCTTTCACACGGACGAACAAGTTGCGTCTGCCATCTCCGCATGTGTATGTATGTGCTGCGGGTCGTCGGAAGCGCAGCATCCCGGACGCGCGCGTCTCTCTCTCCTGGCGTCCGTGCAGATGCGACTCAATTTCGTGGATGACAAATCGCGCCCGTAACGCTGTCAGGCGACGATTAAAGGGCGCGGCCCCCGGAATTTAATGGCGCGTCCTGATTTCGATTAGGGTGAGAATAGACCGGTTTATGAATAATAATAACGTGCTACGCGCGCCCGGGGAAAGAAAGGTGAAGACGCCCGCTGCGGGCAGCACCGTGACGGGATTTTATTAACCTATTCCCGTTTGCCCGATTAATTCATCAAGTCCTAATATGGTGATGATACGGCGCGATAATGTGACATTAAATTGCGATGCTTGCGTACCTTGTTTAATAGGCGGAGAGAGTCGTTATCTCTCGATAATACATACCTATAAATTAATAATAATTGATAACATACTCGAATGACTGCAAAGACGATAAATATTTATATGTTTTTTTAATCAAAGTTTTTTAAATATACAAAAATTTATGCACTCCTGCGATTGAAGGTTTCTGAAGAGATGTATATCATGAGCTTTACAAAGACTGAACATAGTTATTCGATGATCAATTCAACGTTGTTGTGCGAATCGTCCTAATTGACAATCGTCCGTTAGAATGATATTTTCCACAGGCCTTGTAGAACTTAGCGGAAAATTGCTGCTGCTCGGAGTGGCCAAGGTTTCCGTAATTAACGAGTGGCTACTCCGTAATTAAATGCATCTAATGCTGCAGCCTGCAGGGCGGATCTCGCTATTTCCTTCGTGCGCGCTCCGACCGCTCCCCACTCGGTCATGCTAATCGATACATCGTTACGGTATATTAAAATACATTTTTCGGTCGTGCCGATAGATCGTTTAGACGCGCTGGTAAATCTTGTGCGGGCGAGCGGCCGCGTTCAGTAATTATCCGTCTAATTATCAGCGTTCTAAATTACAACGACCCGCGGGGCTATCATTACCGGATCGAGATAACGAGTTTTCCGCGCAATTATGTAAATATTCCTATTTATTTATACACGATGAATTACACGCCGTTCCATTTGAAGTGGTGCGACCGCTTTGCTCGTGTCGCTCCGCCGATTCGTCACAAGATTGCCTATTAGCTCTTTACACGCAATTTGTAAAAGGATCGAGCCGATATTTCCCACTTTAAATCGTTTTCTTTATATTATCTTAATCTAAATTGGATAATCTAGTTTCTCGATTATGCTTAATTATATGTATTTCTCAAAACATTAATATATTTTATAAAATAGCGTTCCGTGCAATATATTACATAATTACGTCAAAAAACTAGTCGGACGACTAAAGTATATCCTGGTTGCAGGCAATTTATGTCAATTACTTTACGTCGATATTCTTAAATTTTATTTTACATAAATCTATACCGGATGTGTTAAAATTTTTAAATAATTTTAATAACTAAATAAAAGAAAAATTTTTTAAATAGCAATGTAATGTCTGATTAAATAATCTAAAATATTATTTTATTTTAATTTCTTAAAAATATCTTAATTTTTAACATAACCGCAATCAATTTGCGCGTCCTTTTATTAGTTGAATTCTCGAGTCTCGCATCGAAAACGTGGTCTACCACGCCTTGGGTGCGCGAGCAAGCTGACAAATCATCGACTCGCGTAACTGTCCTCGTTGCAATAGCGAAGAGCGTGCCAATGGAATGTTTGCCTTCAATTCGGTGACGTTATCGGCGTTATCGTTCGATTTATAGCCCGGAGAAGAAACGTAATGCCCTAGGAAAAACACGCCTATTCAGCGTCACGCGTGAATCCGCCGGGCGTGAGTCGAGGGGGTGATCTTATCTGCTTCCCTATTAAGAAACATCGCGACTTTACAATCTACACCCTCCCCCGTTTCCCCTCCCGCGCGACGTCCGGCCGTTATAGATTGTATTTGCTGACAAATGACGATTTACATTAATTTAGATAACCTGCGATTAGGTCACCATCGTAAGCCGTCGACCGTCCGAGATCTCGCTGCGAGCGAGCGCGGCTATATAACGTGAGATTAGTGGGCTCTCGATGGCTCTTATCGCGTATCAAGTGGATACCTGATAACTGCCAGTGTATTTTGAAATTCAGCTTTCACGCGGGAGAATACATAATTAAAGACGAGTGATTCATTCACACCTTTATTTATGCAGCACAGCTTTATTGAATTGAAAATGCGTGATATTTTCAATTAATATTTCATGAAGAATTCTACAGCGGACAAGAAATTATTCTTTTTAATTGGCCATTTTATGATGTAATAACCTGATATTTCTTGACTAATTAATCGCACTTAGGTGCACGAGCAATCGAAGGAAATCGATACAATAATTCGATTTCGAAATGAGGCGAAGGCGCGTTAATGACGCTCGGACACCGCAGGTGATCGTTGCATCGGGTCGCTGCGTGCGTGCATCTTCGCGTGCGGGGGGAAATTAATGAATTTCAAATCGCAGCATCGCGAGTAGTTAATTTTCGTGGAAGCAACCGCGCGGAGAGATGACTACCCGCTGGAGAACACGCTCATTTAATGCCATCGGGTACTAATAGCGTTTCGATTGCTCGCTGCCAATGGCGTAGGGATACCGGCCTAAGGTTCGAAGGAAGGTAAACATACGTGCCAACGGTAACGCAGGTGCTGCTGCGTGCGTATATTATGCCGATTAAAATTTGCATAACTCGCATTACTGCGTAGTATGTAAATTGCGCATTGGTTGTAAAATACAGGCGGCCGCGAGCGCGCGCGCGCGCGCGCGCTGAGGAGCACGGGTTCACATATATTTACGGTACGGACCTCTCAAATGAGGACGCTCGGCTAATTATTATTAAGTTGTCAACGCCGCGAATGCTTAAATAAACAAGATATTAATTGTCTTAATTGCCAAGCCGCTTTCTCGTGTATCTCTGCGTCCGCGACGTTATAAACATTACGAATAAATATCATATAATAAGTGATATTATTATCTATAATATTAGCAGCAAAAGTATCGCGCATAATCACAGTTAATTTAAAATTGTGAAAGGCAAGCTAGCCTAGAGAGTGGATCGAGAAAATAGAAGACAACAATGTCGCTTAAAGTTCTCCGATATTTTTTTCTGGCGTTTTTGAAACATCTTTTAAATGTCCTTTAGACTAGCATGTTATACGGGTTAAGATTATGGGGCGTCCTTGTTTGCTTTTCTTATAGAAATAAACATTAACTTTGCTAAAAATGCACTAATCATCTTTTCTAATAAAAAGAAAAAATGTTTTAGAAACTCTTAATGTAACGTGAAAGGTTAACGACCGCAACGAAATTCTTTTATTAAATCTTTTATTACCATAAATGTGTGTGTGTATCTTTTGCACATTACTCTTAATAATACAAAAAAAAAAACAGATTTGTAACACATACAAAAAATCGAATAGAAAAGTAGGCACTATGAAAGAACGGAAATTTACGATACAAAAATTTAGTTAAGAAAACCTTTCTCACAGTGGGAGATAAAGAAAATATTCGTTACTATTGTGTCATGTGTCATTTTCTAATGATCTTAATGGACTTAAAAACCGTCATTTTTCACTTATATTGGCAGAAAGATACCTAAGTTTTTTTAACACGCGCTACCTCGATTATATGCGTGAAAATCGAGGACGAGAATTGGTAACGCCGTTTGCGTATTATTCAAAACGCTGCACAGCACATGAACATGGTCCCGATTGTGTGCGTGGGAACCCAGAACGAGAATTCTGCTCTTCTTAATTGAAATGTCTCAACTAACATTTTTAATTTTTCGAGAAAAATGAGGATTAAAGGTGTAAAACATGTTAAAGTACAAATATAAACAAAAAGACGAAAAATGAGAATTTTGCAGATAGGACATTTTAACCAAGGAGGGCAGAATTAGTAACGCTGATTGGGTATGCAATATTGTCGTAGCAATAATCGATGTATAAGATTACGTGGATTTGTAAATTTTATCCACGCACAATCCTGTCGCAAAATATATATTTCTCCGCGATTATATTTATACCAGCTTGCTGGAAATTCTTGGGCGGATTCTAATTTGATTGCCGGACGCGAGATCGAAGCGCGAAGGCGATTAGGTTTTAGTGTCGCAGCTCTTGCGCCACAGATCGTCCAGAGATACAGTGAGGGCCGGCCGTGTACGGGTGACAAATGTTATACCGGGACTTTCCTAATTTCACCGATTATCTCACTGATCTCGCGCTCTTTCCCGGGACACTGCTATATTTTTTCTTCTCCCCAACGGGAATCAGAAGAAAAATAATATCAGTCTTCTACGAAGAAAGGTACCTAACTGGCTGGCACGATGCACGGAAGACTAACGGTAACGGCGAGAAAGACGACGGATTTATGGTCAGCTACCGTGATTGTCCGAAACCGATCAAAGGATCGACGATCGAGAATAGTCCGAAAGAGATCTTACTCGTCGCTGATCGCTCGGAGATTAGAGAGAAGCAACTATAATGAAAAATATATCTGATTCTGTACAGGAATCTGTCCAATTTTGCTGTCTTTATTTTTCTGAATGGCCTCGTTATGGAAATTCTTACTTGAACGTTGCATCAGAAATTTGATTTCTCGTACGATTTTGAATACTTTTTTAGATTGTCGATTTTTCGAAGATGCAATATCTATTACGAGATCTTTGCATTGCTATTAACTTGTTTTTCAATTTCTGACGGAAGCAAACAACGTAACGTTCGCATAAATTGAGATCGCAATCCAATAAAACGTACCCGCTTCATTCCGTCGAGCGCTTTGCGGAAAAATTTTACAAGATAGATATTGCTGCCAGTTGTACGTAATGGCGGCGATGTACAACATGATTACCGATTAGTCATACTTTATCAATAACGCCACGGAGATCTTATTCTATCTCGATCGTTCGTAGCTGGAACCGTCAATGGTGAATTGAGTAACCGCGATCTGCATCGGCTTGATTCAAATCGTGCACGTATAAAGCCCTCATGCTCTTCGAAAGTATTAAAACCATATAACAGTGACGGTTGCGATTAACATATTTATCGATTGCAGATGATTATTAATGAATAAAACTTTGGCATATAAACGCCGAGAAGATTAATTTTGCATCGAAAACAAGTCCACATGTTAAAATTAACATATAAAATTTTTTCTTTTACTTATTCTTACATCTTTATATCAATTGAATCGCAAATTAAAAGTGTCATATTTTACTTCTTTGATTGCTAATAATATCGTAAGACAGCAAGTCTAAATATTCATCTGGAAAATGTGTGTATTCCCTCAAGGTCCGAAACGAGTCGAAACGAGTCGAAACGAATTGAAACAAGTCGTTTCTATTCCGCTATTTTTTCCGAAATCCCAACATCCCTGTCGCTTTCATCTTGGTGAGAGACACCTGCGTTTCTTCGCATCTCGGGAAACCGTTATGGTCATCGGACAGAGATTCCGCCTAATAAAGACATAATTCTACGAGATAGAATCTACCTCTCTCTTGGTCGTGCTTGCACGCGTATCGCTATCTTTACGAGCGACTACCTCCCCGTCTAATTCGAAAACAGATCGAATGTCGAGCTCGGCCGACCAGCTCCGCGCGCAGATTCACGATCTTTCTCGGAAAAAAAGAACGTTCCACGCGATTTACGGCCTCGTTAAGTCCCCGGCACTACGCAGGCTCGTATTAACGACGCGTCGCAGATGTATTAACTGCGATTGTTAAGCGATCTATGCGCACGGGCGAACAATGGGCGTTTAATCCCAAAGCTGTTTCCTGCTGTTTTCTATATTTCTTCTCTTTGTTACGAATCTTGGGATTGTGTTATCGTAGATGGGATAAAATCTGAGAAAATCTGGCACTATGTTATCAAACTATGTTAATTTATGTTAATCAACTTTGAAATTATTCAACGTTGATTACCTTATAAAATTTCATCATCCATAAATTTTTTCAAGAAAATAATTAAAAATATTTTTATTCGGTTATCACGTACAAGTACCGAGTTTCCGACTATAATTCGTGCTACGATTACTGTACATTTTCCCAACTTCCCCACTGGCTCGTTCAACGTTTTGCTCGTCGTCGGCCTCGTTTCGCGCATATTCCACGCAAATCGCCCTGAAAACGCACGAGGGACAAAACAAGTCGCTCTCCACCGACGGCCGATCGCCCGCAAAATGGCCAGCCATTCGGCGCGATAACAACAACTTGATGAAACGATTAAAACCGTAACGAGCCTCCCCCTCCCGCCGTCGCGGTCGGTGATTGCTGTTGTTACAATCCGCGCTTCCAGCGCGAAAATTTTCCCAATTCACATGTATGAGCGGCCGCATTCCCGCGGGAGCTCTCGGTCAACGTGCTGTCGGGACACCTCCCGCGGGATATGCCCCTGATAAATCCGTCCGGCTGGTGTTAACCGCGCTCTTTTTTCGCTCTTTTACGCGACGGCGATCCGGCGATCGTTATTGCAAATTGTATAGACGATTTGAATTTTACCTGTAAAATTAAGAAATATTAGGTATGTATGTAGATTCTTTGGTTCTCATATTTTTGAGAATTATATTTTAAAGCTGTGAAAAATTTCTCATAAATATAAATTATCAATTTTTTGAGAAGTTGATCTTACGCGATAAATAAATTATGAATTTAATTCATTCTTAGTTTGAATTCGTTTGAACTACTCCAAAGTCAAGAGATATGAACGGTATCGGGATTGATAGTTGAAAAACTGCCGCCCTGAAATAAATTCCCAAAATAAAGCGAGCGTGTCTATGACCGGGCGGTTTTGAAATTAATGCGATGCCGTCTGAGGGGCCAACTGGAAGTCATAATTCCGTCATCCTTCAATATCGTTGCCACCACTAAGTGCCGAAATCACTCAGTGGGCGGGAGAGAGCGTTTTGACGATCGCTGCGGCGGCTTTTCCACGATAATCTCAGCTGCTGCGCGCAGCTATATACCGAGCGAATTATCCCCGGGGATGACGCGGGGGAGGGGGGTACGCGATAAATAAACCCTAACCCCATTCAAGTAAGTGGTTATGTTTTTAACACGTGCTAGCGGCCAACAGTTCGCCATCTCTCTCCCCAACCACCCTGCTTCAAAAGTTGTAGTGCATACTGCTGCGTACCGATCCACCGAGAAACGCGCTCGTCCATAATCGCCGTCTCCATAAGCCACGTTATGGTTGCCAGTGGCGTAACAGTGTGGGAATCGAATGTGAATTTGTTACAGTTTAATTAAACGTAAAAGAAACGTTTAATTTATTCATATTAAATTGTGTCCTGGTTAAATCAGAAAAATTATTAAAATTTATTTTTCTCTACAGAATCCTATTACTTTTAAATAAGTCAAAATTACACGTAAAAATATTTACAGAATTCTCAATCACATAATAATTATAATGTGACAGAATTAATTTCTCTTTTTTTTTTTTTAATTTTACACTAAAGGCAAAATTCCGGTAATTACATTTATATTATGGAAATATGTACAATACAATATGCATTTAAATACAACTTGTAATAAATATAATATTTCTTTCTCGAAAAGAAATTGTTTTATTCATTCAGTGAGGTCGCTCTTCGCACAACGGCAACAGCTTCAATTTGCCCGCATGCAAAATGCAGATATTCGTGGCGCTAAATCTTTACGGTAGGATCAATTATGTTCTCATTGCTCATTCCGTGTTAACCACCATCGACGAACCCGATCTTTGCGTAGAGCCCGCTCGACTACGCTGTTGGTATGCACACATGAGCACACGACTTTTACACGCAGCGAGGGGTGAGCAGCAGCAGCAGAAAGTGAGAGAAAGAGAGAGGGGAAGAAAGCGCGAGAGAGAGTAGAAGAAGGAGCGAATCGGGGTGCAACGTGGAAGACGGAGAAGGCCGAGAGAGGCAGGAGGAGAGAATAGCGGAGGCTTCTCTCGTCGAGATGGGAGATGCGCCGACATAACCGATAAATAACAACGGCAACGAGCCTGTCAGACCCTTGTTAAAGCATCGTGCACACGCTCACGCGGACCAGCACGCACGCATTCACGCATTAGAATGCATTTTAACACACTCTCGATCTTTCTCTCTCTCTTTCTCTCTCTCCCTCTCCCTCTCTCTTGTACCCTGGTGGCGAGAGTGCCGTATAAATATTTTGTGGGCCTCCGGGGCCCCCGTGCGCACTCCGGTGACGAATATTACCGGGGCCTCTTCCGACTAAGACGAACGGTAATTAATATCGCTCCTCCATCCACGCGAGAGCCACGAGAGAGCCGCGATTTCTCGCAGACAATTGTTACTTTGTCCAAGTTCCCAGAAACAAACGCTCACGCGTCTCGCCTGCGTTGCGCGCCGGGATCCTGTTACGCGGAGATGCGTTCGCCAGAATTTACAGCGGTCGAAACCGCCGGCAAGATGTGCATGCGAGCTGCGTACGCGCCATTGTCCGTCATTATGTTCGCGTGCCGCTATATGCGCGATTAATGAATCACGCCTTTGTTGTCTAACAATGAATGTATCCGTTGTTTCAGAATCCTCGAGGCATCCTCTAACGTGGAGCGTCGAAGGAGGTGATGGAGGAGACTGCGGTAGGAATCGTTGCGATTATTATTGCACATTGAAACAGGTAACTGCATCGATGATTTTGCTTGCGGTGGTATCTATCGATTTCTGCGCGAAAGGCGGCATGAAAAACTGTATAAAATTTTATCCTGGTCTTATCTTAAAAATTGACAATGAAATTCGGAGCTTAATTCCACTCAAATAATAAGTTCGATAAAAAATTAAGAAAATTAGTTTAGTTTTAATAACAAACATTTCTGAGTTGAAGCTTTTTTCTAATGAAAATATGCCAATTTTGATGCCTCCGACCACGCCCATACTCCGACGTTCGAGAATGCTAGAATCGGTGTTGAGAAAATTCGCGCTGCACGCGCCATCGTTTTATCCGCTCAACTTAACACGCCGGTCGGTTACGCCGGAGTTACGAGCTTCGCGTCCTCCCCTGCCCGCGTCCCACCGCGCCTTAAGTACACGTTTTATGAACTGTACTTTATGAATTTGTCGAAGTGCCTGCTTATACGATGGTTTCGTTAGCACGCCCCGAGCAGTTTACCGACGAACGGGAGAAGGCGAGAGGAAAAGAGAGAGAGAGAGAAAGAGAGACTTCCAACTTCTCCGCTCGCATGAACGCCCGAACGAGGAATGACTTTCGTACCCTGCTCCGGGTTCGCAATATTATCTGGCGGTAATACGCGCAAGAAATTGACGGCAGGGATTTGTCGCGCGCCTCAGCGACTGTGAGATTTATATTAATTGCGCGGCGCGTCAAGCGTAAGCCGTATTCGCTTTTTATGTGCATCATTAGGATGCATTCTACTCAAGTTTCGATGGCACTCTAAATCAATGATATGATATCATTCTATGATATATATTGAAATTTAAATATTGCATTTTTTTAATTTTTCTATCATAAACGGAAAAAATTCTTGCTTAACAAATTTCTATCCACTTATGACCATTAATATGATTTTTAAGCTAATTAAAAAAGTATACGTAACCATAACTTTTTGTAGAAGCAAAATACGCTATGAAAGTCGGAAAAAAGAAGAACGTCAAGAAAGATATCGCCAACGAGATTAAATTTATATTTCGGAAAGTTCTGGCGAGAATCTGTTTCGAATTACTGACAGCACGTGCTGCCCCTTGTCGCGCCGTCAAAATCGATCTTCTCTAATTCGGAGTAAATGAAGACAAAATAGAGATACTAATTATATTTTGGCTCCTCGAATGATGACGTTTTTCGCTTGAATTTTCTTCTTCGTAGAAGCGACTTCGGAAAAGATAATAAAAATAGTTGAGTACTCCAGATTCACATCTGGTTTTCTAAATTATTGTACGCGTTTCTAATCTCTTTGCTTCTGATTAAACGCCAGCAAAATAGTTTCACTGCAGAAAGATGACGCATTAATTTGTAATAATTATGACGTCGGTTGTACAATTGGCAAGGTTGCCTGCAACTAGTTATATTTTTTTTCTTCATTTGCTCCGAGCATTATCTTCGAAAGTTGGCACCTGGCTCCGATATAAACTGCTGTATCGCTTTCACGGGGATTCAGATAGAGCTGTCAACCCCCGTTACAATAATATTTTCCCAGCACCAAGACGTTGTTTACAGTGTAAACGCGGTACCCGCCGGATTATCCACTCGTCCCTCGCCGCCTTTCACGTCCATTTACTGCGGGAAAATCGCCACTGTATTCCCGAGAATTGTTGCAAATTATTATATACAATGAGACAAATTGTGCAAAATTAAATATACAATACAATGCAGAATATTTGGAAATTTACAAAATTAATTATTCTTATAAGCGACAATCTCTCGGGAAATTTATATAATATAATGCAAATACAATTGCTATATCTAGATATATTTTTTGTATATTATAAAAACTGCAATTAAAATAAAAATAAAACTAATTCGGGCCGCGGCGGTCTCTAAATATATCTCAGCGTATAAATCTCAATCGGTAAACGCTATAAATCACTAGTTAAGCCGCAATGCGCAAGAGATGTCTAATTAAAGAAACACTGCCTTCATTTTCCCGCATTTCACGGAAATTTCCACAATCACCCGGCTCATTCGTCACTCTCGTTCGCCGACATGTAGATCACGGCGAATGGGGTGTATCGCGCAGCTTCGCTATCTCGACAGAAAAAAAAGAAGAACCAGTTCGTGCAGGAGGGCGCATGGAAGCGGGACGCGAGATCAATTCCGGACAATATGTAGAACGATTTCTCTCGGCTTCTGGAAATCCGTCGTGTCTAGAGGGCGAATAACTGGAAAGAGGAGAGAGAAAAAGAGAGCGGGAGAAAGAGAGAGAGAGAGAGAGAGAGAGAGAGAGAGAGAGAGAGAGAGAGAGAGAGAGAGCAAGAGAGAGAGCGAGCGGCATCCTTCCCTTCACACTTCTGTACTGGTCTCGCATTCTTTATCCCAACGGCGATTTATTTTCTGTCATTTTTCCAGGGGTAAGAAGGAGCCGAGGGGTGGCGAACGGAAGCGCGAGGTGGATAGAGGAGGGGCCCGGGGAGTATATCTTCCACTGCGAAAGAAGGTTTTATTGGCCTTTTTATGGGACGAATAAACGGCCCCGTTACGCGGATTTACATACCGCTTGTTTCGTGATTCACCGACTTCCATTTGCCTGCCACCCAGCCTCCTCTTTCTATCCGTCTTTCTTGCTCCTCCCTCGCCATCTCTCTTCGCGCGGCTACCCTTCGTCTTTGGCTTCTAGCCTCCTAGCAGCGAAACGGTAAAACTTGCTGCCCTCCCGAAAGATGGATTCGCGCCTCCGTACGATCGAACGGCGAATAGCCGCATCGCGATCGCACTTTAGGAAATTCCTACACTCTGCCACCGTCGGAAAAAGAAAATGCCTTGTTACTTCGGGTCCATTTCATTCGATCTCGCTTCCACGAGCGCCGATAAAACATACGCATTTCTGCCTTATCGCGCCTTCTAACAATTTTTTGCGTCATAAAACTCCTTTTAGATAATCTATAATTTGCGAGAAAATTTAAAGCAAAGATCTGTTTATAATCTTTTATGTAGTAGAAAATAATTAAAAAATTGGAATAGATAAACACAAAATAGATATCACTGATATATATTTTGTTTCCGTGTGTATTCTATTTTTTTCTGCATTTTACGATACATAAAATTTATTATTAAAACTCTATTATTAGAACTCTATTTGAAATTATTCTGTCGTAAATTAGATTGTCTCAAGTGGGCTTTATCGTGAAGAGTTTATTGTTTATGCAACTTCGAGTATAGATTGCGCGCGCGCGCGCGCGCACGTTAAGCAACATATTATTGCCGATCTTCGACTATATCGCATAATTTATTAATCTCATTAGCGACGCTCATTAGTAATTTTACCGCTGTTCCGCTTGTTGGACTATTTTTTTCTCTAAGCTGCTTTGAACGCCGCTAATTAGATAAATCGCAACGCGTTCTCATTGATAAATAACGAGATAAAAACAACAAGTCGTTATTAAGCGGCCGAGAAGGAAAAAAAGCGGGAGATCGATGTTCTTATCATCACCCGTCTAGAACAAGCTGATGTAATTATGACGAAACGTTGTGGAATGATTTATTGAATTATCTCGTCTCGGTTCACGGCGCGCGTCGACGGTTTCTTAATTAATTTATTAAATGATTTCCGACCAAATTACCTAATTAGCGCTCGACATTGTCGTAACGCGAAAAGAGTTTTGCGTCAGTCGATTATCACCCTTACACATCCCGATAAGATAAGCGCTGCTTATTTTTTATCCTCGTTTCGCAATAATGTTAATAATAATTCGCAAAAATATCGAAAACAGAAATAGTCGAAGTGATTTCGCCAAGTGTTTGTAGGAATCGTGAAACTTGCGTCAATCGTTAAAATAGTTACATCACGATATTTTTAGAATAGCCAACTATACAGAATTAACGACGCTTTCTAGGATGTACGTGGTCAACAATAGAATACTGAAGTAATTTTATTATTCGTCTCGGTAATAAGAAGGTCAATTTGAAGGAACAACGTTACAACAGCCGAAACGGAAAATAGCTTAGTTTTTTTGACCATTTTGAGCCATCCGCTTTTCGCGCGACCTTTTCTATTACATAATGAAGCAATTTGACGCGCTAAAAATCCGTGACGACCGTACCGACGACGAAGCGTCGCCGTCGAGCGACGGCAGATAATTGCGAACTTGTAACGACGCGCGCACAGCAATTCCGTAACGTTACAACACCCCTTACCTGCATTTAACGTCACTAAAGCGAAGGAGCGAAGTAATCGCGGCCTCGTTCCGATAATTGTACGGCCGGCCAATTACAACATAACGGATCCTTGGGACTGCGAATACGGAGCCCGCTATAAATCCAGTTCGGTAAAACGCAGTCATTTTCTCCGTCGTGTACACAGTGTGGAGAAAAGAGAGAGAAAAAAAGAGAGCGACCAATTCGAAATAATCGTAAAGTCGGCCGCGCCTGTCCCGTGTAATTTGTAAGACTAACTCCACGATTCGAATATATTAAATTTCATCGTAATTTACTTCCCCGTCGCGAGGATTAATCGTAAGAAAGTATCTTCGGGTTTGCGAAATTTTTTATGTATTACACACCTTTGCAATTATATCGCATTATTTTACGATCATATTATTTTATGCAACGGAATCCGCGCGCGCTCACTTAATCAAGCAGCGTTATTTCTAGATTTGCAGCACGCGTATGTAAATAAAACGAGAAACGATTTAGGTGCGTGTAACGGCTCTCGAATTACGCCATGCACTTATCTCGGGGCGCACCCCGAGCAACGGTAACAACGTATACAAGCCGCGTCGTCGTGCATCACATCACAAAGAGGCCGTCATTGGCGAGGGGCGTCACGTGTCATTTGATTTCAATTCGCAGCCCTATCATCCCCGCCGACCGACACAATAATCCCTATTAAACAAATAGTCCTGATCGCTGCCGGGTCGGCGTGCGTGACGCGGTGGTGCACGCACATAATGCACGTAAGATGGAAGCGCGGCGACGCACCACGGTGTTTGCGGAGCACACACTGTGTGCGT